ATTTTCTGTGTACTGTTCTGTTCTAGTTTCCTCTTGTCTGTCCGGACTGTGAGTAACTCTTGTATTGTATTGTATGTATTGTGCTATTAGTATATAATTCGTTACACTGTGGCTGTGTTGTGTGTGTTAAGCTGCTGTTGCACTGCAGTTTCCCTCACGGGATCAATAAAGTATCTATCTATCTATCTAGTAATAAGTGTTCTGAGGGACTGTGAATCCTCCAATGGATGGGACGCCATTGTATTACAGGATTACCTCCAGCAATGCTGGTCTTCACTCATACGGATGATGATAGAATCTGAGGTTTTTAGATGTGTCTAACTGTCACTTATTTAAAGTCTTGTTTCTTTGTAAATCTATAGTTCTCATCACAGCGTCAGATGTTAACATGGAATTAAGTATTTCAAGTACATCAACACAGCTTCTTTATATTGTGTAATGTGGTTTTTAAAGGAGAAAAAGTTAAAGGGGAACTGCAGTCCCACTTTCTTAGACTGGTTATTAAATTAATTGACGGTATCGCAGAATTTTACAAATTCCGAATTAAGCATGAAATCATAATTTTTGTGAAAGTACAGGATAGTCACTATGTTGTCGAAAACCCTTGGTCTCAACAGGGGTGAGAACAAGAGTTTGGATGTGATGTGAAGTGGCCCTTCCTCTTATTAGTCACTGTCTCTGTCTAATGTAATGCAATGTGCAAGCAGATAGGTACTGGTTGTGCTGCAGACATTTCCCAATGGAAATGTTCCAACGTGATCTGCATGCAGAGTTAACAAGTAATTTGATTTTCCTTGAGAGGTACTACCTCTACTCTTTTTGAGAAATGCATTGGAATTTTTAATGACCACGGTTTTATATCTCATCAGAAATACAGCGCCTTTTTACAGTATAGTGTCCCTCTCACTATACTGGGGCATTGGAACCCACCCAGACTATAGGTTGAGCACTCCCTACTGCTCCCACTAACACTACTTCCAGCAACAAAGCAACAACATTCGTTTTTCCCAGGAAATCTCCCATTCAGGTACTGACCAGGCTCACACCTGCTTAGCTTCAATGGGTTGCCAGTTATGAGTTGCAGGGTGACATGGCTGATGGTACATTCTCAATTGTTGCCACATTCTGAACAGAAAAATATGAAGCTGCACAATCTTGGACATTTTTGTCTTTTTTGTGATGTAAATTGGAGGCTTTACATGTTACTGTGTACATTTTACTTTCATTGTGGTATGAAATGCACTCACCAATGCCAATTCTTTCTAACCCCAAAACATAAAATAGTGTTGCAGTTCCCCTTTAAGTGTGTCAGTGATAAAAAACGTTGTAGGACAGGATGCAGGATTTCCTAATGTTTTTCAGAACAAACATTGTTAGTAATAAGTTATTTATGTGTCTTTGTAATTATGATGAGAATAATAAGACACACCCCAAAAGATTTTCGTATTGTAATCATACACACTTCTTGGAAAAGGCTAACTGACAAGTTTTAATAAAGAAACTAGGCAGAGTAAAATCATTGTTATGTAAAGAAACTTTAGAAATGAAAATATCTAGAAAAATCTAGAGGAGGGATGACAATCGTGACAGAAGACTTATCTCATATTCTTCATCAGTTTTATGATCTATTGCCTTTAGATAGATGTTTTCATTGTCTATAGTGTGTCTACAAAATTTAGCTTTGTTCCAAAGGCCAGCAGGCACATAAAACAATGACTGCAAAGAACTTTTATCAATAATGATTGCTTTAATATAGTGACATCTCTACAAATGTACACGTACTTAAATACTTTCTTAAATGTATAAAGAATTCACTATTATTTTATTTTGCAGTATAGGACAATGCAAAATTACACTGTTACATTTGTAATCATTTCATTGGACTCTTGCTGTTAATGTTTTTTTTTTCTTAGACATGTTGTTACTATTTTTTTGTTTTCTAGTTTTATTTAGAACATGTTGTATATGCACTCCATGGAGTTTAAATTACTCCCCTTAGGGATGAATAAAGTATTTGGAATTGTGTTGAATCTATTATAATCGAATTGACATCTTGTACAGAACAGAGCCCCACCATACTGAGGCATTGTTTTCTTGGAAATTCTGGTGTAGAGTAAAAAGAGTTCCATCTACTGACTAATCAACACTACTTGCAGCAGCAACCAGGTTTTCCTAAGAGGTCACTCTACAGAGCATTCCCAGCCTTAACTTCTGAGATTTTACAAGATCAGGCTACAAGATACTAGTGCTTTTGCCAGGATCCTCACTATCTTCAAGTGCTTCTTATCCCATACTGTATAAACCATGAAATCTGCAAATGCACACTCAGGTTACTTACCATTTTGCCACAAACTCTGGAAATATATTCCACATGATGGTAGGAAGTTTGAAAGAAAGTTTGAAGGTTGAAAGACAGTGGTTTTCAATAGAAAATAATACAGCAATGTAAGCTGTATAATAATTAAACAAAATCTGTTAGGTGAATAAAGGTTTATAGGATGCAATTAATTAAATGGGAATTGTTTTCAGTCTTGTTAGTTCTTAACTCTATAGTGTTCTAACAAATGTATGATAAAAATAAGTGATAATATTATTGGCAATTATTTACTTGAATTTACAGTGCCCTCTAGATTTATTAACAACCCCAATGAAACAGGCATCATAAAAAAGAAAATAAGAAGGACTGGAAATTTTGCATTGCTTATACAAAATATATATAATGTAATTTTATCAGAATTGTATATGGTAAAGTCATATTTATTGTAAATGTTGTTCATTGAAATACCTGAAAACATGGAGATGACATTTATTTATTTATGTACAGCACCACTGACCTCTTCAGTTTACAATAAGTTCAACTCCAGAATTTCAAAGTTTCCCTCAGAGACTAGGGACTTGAGGGGAGGAGGCGGGAGCTGTGCAGCAGTCTGCATCCCTTGGTGTTGGACTATCCCCATGACCTCTCCTCTTTTACCTCAGGTTCAACCTTTCCTGCAATTTTCCTCCATTTCACCAAGTAACAACCCTCAGTCAGAGGATGGCTGCTTTTTCTACCTTCTTAACTTTACTTGCTCTGTGACTAGCCCTGGCGTGATGATAAAGGCAATAAAATGGTCAGCAAGTCAACTAGTCTCCCCAACCTGTCCTTCCTAAGACCACTGCCACCAAAATGTGTTGCAATAGTTAAAATGACAACAGCGGAGAGGAGAAAAGAATAAAGTGGAAGAACAAGTTACATCCATCCATCCTTGTGTTAGTAGGTGGTTAACTCTTGCAGCAAAAATACAGTAGATATGTACAGTATACTGTATGAATCACTCCTTTTAGTGAATATTTTTAAGTGTTTGTTTAAAGAGGAATCTCTCTCAAACACCTCTTTTTACATTTTACATGCACTCCTCCATCCCATCTCCACCTTCCAGCTATCTCTTGGTTAAGTCCAGTCTCTGAAGGGGGGTCCAAGTATTTTCATCCAAGTCTCTTTGTCCTCTTAACCAAGCAGGTTAAACCAAAACTTGGTATACTTAAATATTTAATATATATTTACAACACAACATGTCAGGGAAATACTGTATATACTGTATAGCACTTTTTTTTTTTGAAGCACAAACTTAAAATAAAGTTTTAAAGTAGATTTTGTTGGTGATAGTGCTCTGTAGTGAAGTTAAGAACAAAAGCATAGCTATAGTTTTGGTCAGCTTAATTTTTTTGTTTTGTTAGTGTAAAAGGAAAAATAAAACAAGGTACAGGATGCAGGATTTCCTGGTCTATATTTGTAGATAATTAAATACCTAAAAAAAGGTGTGCTCACAGAACACAAGGAAATTCACGCTTCATTTATTTAGTATTAATTAAAAAAGTATAAGTGGAAAAAAGAGAGATACAGGAGTATTACAAGAACAAAATACAAAGAAACAAAAAAATAAAGTGCATATCACAACATTCAACAAAAGATAATACAAACAAACCTGCACATAAGAAAATCAAAAAGTATTTCAGGATCTTCCTCAGACAAAAAGGGAACATAAAAATGTGTTTTTGTAATTTATGAATCATGTGCTTTTAATTATAAACAATTTGTCTAATGTAATGATGGATTACATATTAAATTTCTGAAGACTAAAAATGAATGAATATTAAAATTGGAAATATGTTACATATTCTAATACCCATTTAATAATAATAATAATAATAATAATAATAATAATAATAATAATAATAATAAAATACTTAATCAGAGTATTAATTTGAGTGTTCTGGAGAAGTAAATTAAACCAGACAGAAAATCAGAATAAATTAGGAAAAGAACATTCAAGGATGAGTCATATAAATCTAAAATGAGATGAGAATCAAGTGACACCTGATTTAATTGATCCCTGTCAAAAATTGGTCTTTGATGTGTCACAAAAAGCAAAACAAAGAACAGATGATCATTACAAAAGCCATGAGACCATTGAGAAAAATAAAAGTACCAGTAAAAGAACTGTCCTATATGATTCAAACTCTATAGAACCTGGTTGCAACTTCTAAAACGTATATCTCTACATCTTCCCATAGGTAACATTACAATGCACACAAATATTACTTTCAGTAAGAATGAGGAAATTAATCTATTATGAAGAAATGTATTGGTACTATCTATTGCATCCATAAGAATGATTTAATTTAAGATATCTTTTTTATTATACTTAAAAATGGTATGAAATGGTTATAACGTTAAAGTAAACACCTACATGACAATTGCTGAAGTGTGCTTAGGCTAAAATGTCTTCCTTCTGTTTGTAGCAACTAAATTATTGGTTTTTCTTATTCCCACTTGTATATATCAAACATGACTAATTTGTTAAATAAGATTTTACATGTCACATGTTCATGCAGTGCCACGTGAAAGGTGTGTCTGTAAGTAAAATGCACTTTGATGTGATAAGTCTATGGTCTACCAATCTTAGTTCCTCATATTATTTAAAACAGGTGAAAATCAGAATATAAAAGTGTTACAGTGCTTCATTTGACTGCTAACAACTGATGGCTTTGTCAGTGCTGTTCATCTAAGAAGATGAAGCTGCTTTCAGAGCTAACCCTTGTGGCTGTGCTATTTCTGCTGTCAGGTACTGTACTGTATGTCACCAAATGATTTAAACATAACTTGCCAAGTAATAAAAACATAAGTTATTGAATAATGTCTTAAATATTAATAATAATTTTGAATTTAACTTTGTTGTGATGTATTTTAAGAATTTAGATTATGAAACTAGTGTGTGCTTTTTTATATTCTACAGTGTATGAATAAGGTGTCTGCACCAGCACAACATTGCAGTACATCTTGTGATGCTCTAATCTATCAGTCTTCTTTTGCATGTTTTTGATTAAATCACTTTGATGTCTCTAAACAGAAATACTAATTATTTTTTATGTGTGATGTTTGATGTGTTTGATGTTCAATAAATTCATGACCAATATGTTAAATTTACAACAACATCATAAAATGGCCTATTACTGTTCCTCATTGGGCATTACATGCTTTCTTCTGTGTGTTCTATTAAGGTGTTTATTAATAATTTCACATTAGAGATTATAGATTGATTTTGTATCACAACACTGTCAACCTGCCATCACCCTGCTAAATTATCTGAACATGGGATATTTATTAAGGAATTTAAGGAAATGTAATTTAACCAAGGTATTAAATAAGGAAAACAATTACTGCTTCCTACCATGTTCATTTTTGCATTTTTTTTTGTTTAGTACTCTGTCAATTGGCATTTACCTATCAGCCATATGAAATAATAATGCTGTATATTTTCATTCCTATTGACAGAACTGTTGTTTCTGCTTGAGTGTTTGTCTTTAATGTGTTTTGGCATCAATATGTTTTGATTTATTCTTGTCTTTAGGCAAAACCTCTTCTGCCAGTGACGCATATTCAGGTAATTATTTTAAAATATTAATTATCAAGTTCAAGTTCAATACTTTATTGCCATAACAACTAGTTGCATGGGATTTGGTTGGGTGAGTTCATACAACATAAAGCCAATAACAGACAGCATCCAATCAGCACATCTTCATAAAACACCCTAAACACATGCCTTCTAATTATGTTAGAAAGTCACATGAATTTCCCAAATATACGATTGCTCATCAACAATTGATTGTGGAATTCAGAAATGGGAATAAAAGGAAAACAAATGTTTTCATATAGTATTATAGAGAGTATATGTTACCAACATTAATAAGTACAAAACTGGCATTAATAATTTACTATGGAAAGTGAAAAGTATAACTTAATTATAATAACACTAGATATCTTATAGATTTCTAACACTTTTCCAGTTCAAACCTTACTGATCTATCACCATCATTTGTAACTGTTACTAAAATTAACATTTTTTATAGAAATATTAAATCTTCTAGTACATCGGTTTAATAAATCACATTCTGAAGGTTTAAGTTAAATTAATCACCTACAAAAGACCTGAGGTAAGTGTTAAGTAACCAATAAAGGGAACAACTGGTTACCCCAAATACCCTAGTGTTTGTCCAACTAAATTAAATAACCAATTGATTTATTAATTGATATATTCAAGAAAAATCTTGAGAATTAAATAAATCTTTCATATGTTATATCTTACAATCTTACAGTTTTTTCCTTACCAGTATTATCACATATTTAAGGTTTATTGTCTACATTTGTAGTCTAAAGTAAAAAAATATTCATCGCTGTGTCAAAATTTAAATGCTCTTGTTACTTGATAACCATTGTATAACAGATCATGACTTTAACTGTATGCTGAGCAGTTTATAAATTAGATTAAAATTCTGGATATTTAACAATTATGAAACATCCATAAACCTTCTGAGATTAAACATTTCCCTTAAATGAAGAAAAAATAATATTAATAACTTCAGTGAATAACACAGGTCTTCAGAGAGCAAATGCATGATATTTGTCTCAATGTAATTATCACAAGGAACAATTAAACTTTCACTCACACACAATTTAGCGACACCAAGTGACCTAGACATCTTGTGTTTGGACTGTGGAATGAAACACTCAAGAGCCACGCAAAACAGGGAGAATATACAAACTCCACACACAAGGGATCCAGGCTGGAATCAAATCATGAAAGATAAAGGAAATGTCCAGAAATCCCAGTTTCCTATGTAAAATGGTTTAAAATAATCATTGACTACAGATCAAGGGTCTACAACCTTGGTCATGTGGAGCTACATAGTTTTATGGGTCTCGTTCCAGATAAGGTTCTCATTCTATAACTGAGCTCATCATTAATTTTAATGTGATCCCAAGTCCTTGATTTAAGATTTATATAAAACCTGTTGACTAAGGCTCTTCAACAAGAGAGTAGGAGACCCTGCTCTGGATTGTATACTATTTAAATTCCATTAAATAAGATTATTTCATGAATAACCATCAACAAGGATTATCCATCAATGAGGATCAACTGAAAAATAAATGAAATTGTATGAATTAAGAAAGTTAATAAACTAAATTACAATTTATGAAAGCAATTACATAGAAAGCATTCATTTATGATGGAGCACATTATCATGCTCAATTTCGTTGTGAAATATTAGGTATATTACAGTACATTATGTAATGAATTAATTAATACTTTTGTTTCCTTGTAGATGTATGCAAAACATTTGGTAGTGGAATCATTCAAACTTTCAATGGCACCTATTTCCACGTGAAATCAACTTGCCAGTTTACTTTCAGCAAACAGGGTACAGACTATGACATACAAATACAAAGAGATGAAGATGGCTTTCTGGCGAAAGTGATCATTTTTCTTAATAATATAGAAACCATTTTGGAAAAAGGTCAAATAAATGTTGAAGGGAAAAAGTAAGTGCTATTTAAAATATTTTAACTTTATTTGTGGAAGGAAAATTATTGTGGAAATTACATAACATATAATAATATTAAGATTTAATATAGTCCTGGAATACAGTGGTGTTCACAAACAATGGCTAGTGACCATATTAAATCAGGAGACAAAATACTATGATTAATACAGACAGGGTGCCCAGAAGGTTAACTGTGCAATTATTTTTTACAATGTATTATTTTGTATTTATAATTTATCCTCCCTTTCGACGAAGTCTTGTGTGTCCAGCAGTGCTCTTAGGCGCTATTGTTCCTCTAACGGTAGATCATAGCACTTCAAAGTTCAATATAAATAATGCTGAGACAGAACAGTGTCCAGAGATGCCAGGAGAGGGAATGTGTAGGCTCCCAATTCAACATGGACAGTTCACCCCTGAAGCCAGAGCCCAACCTAAAAGAGTGGAGCAGTGGCTAAGGATCTACACCTGTGAGTGGAAAGTTGCTGGTTCGAATACCATGGCCAACAGAGGAATCCTACTCCATTGGGCCCCTGACCAAGGCCCTTAACCCTGACTGCTCCAGGGGCACTGTACAATGGCTGACCCTGTGCTCTGACCCCAGGCTTCTCTCTCTGTCTGTGTCTCATGGACAAAAGCTGGGGTATATGAAAAGATGAATTCTAATGCAAGAAATTGTATAGGGCTAATAAAGAAACATTATCATTATTAAACATTAAAAATAAATTTGCTTTTTATTCAAACTTCTTGATATATTTGATTTTATTATTTGAATGTTTCCATTTATAGTGTTAATCTTCCTTATGATCACAAATATCTACATATCCATGAGTATGGCATCTACACTCAGCTGGAGAGCAGAACAAAAAAGCTGTCACTCTTTTGGTATGATGAGGGTGGTTATATCAGCTCACTTTGGGTAAGATATGATATTTTCATTATTTGTTTTATAAATACTTTTTTGTTTAAAAATATTAAATAACATTGTTGTGATATATAATAGTGTTAGTAAATTAAATCATATTGATAAAAAACAGAAGTAATGGGATTGCAAGTATGACTAGTATGGTAATGGAAATACATTATAGCAAAACTTATTTATTCTTCATCCTAGCGTTTATCCCACATCAGCAGGGTCCGCTTGTCGGCACACCCGTCTCCATTTGGTGGTTTGAACCAAATCTTTGAGCTGACGTTGCCATTAAATGCGACATAGAATACTCCAACCGGCATGTCACTCAGCCTGCCGTTACTTATTTCTTATTTCTTTTAAAATAGTAATTAAAATTGTGATCTTGTTAAGCACTGTTAGTGACAGTTCATGTCATTTCCTCACACAATCGCTGCTATTAAACAGTCTAAAGACTTTTAACATATCCATTCCACAGCACAATTTAGGCAAGTATAATCCTGTTGTATCCATTCTGCGCAACCAATGGCAGATTTTGAATACAATTTTAAAACTGATCAACCATACTAGACGATCCAGATTTTAGTATAAGGTTTTATATCTTGTCAATATGAGTAAATGTATGTATTGTCAATATGACTAATTTTCAAAATTAAAACACAAAAATAAAATTTTGGAAACACAATTTGAGTGCAGAACACTTGAACTCAACACAGGTTTTTTAATAAATTGATTACTGGTTAATTTTCATAAACACAACAACTAAATAAAACAACAAAAAAATCATCTTTGCAGATAATTACTGCTATATATGATTTACCAGTTTCAGTAGCTACTGTATATAGAGTGCTGCTCTATCTATATAGCATTGAGACAGGCCAGGATCCAATTATGTCAGGAGAGGGAATATGAAGGCTTCTAGTCCAAAACCAAAATCTTTTAAGCTGCAGTCAGACTAGCCAAGCAGTTTCTTCTGCTTCAAGAACCCAGGGCTGGAGTTATCATTTAATAAAGGTATTACTGCAGGTGAGAGCAGGGAAAACCCTGTTTATAGTATTGAACTGAGAAGAAGAAACTTCTTTCCAAAATTTAACCACATCTGGAAGCTCTCAAAGCATGTGTAAATAAGGTGTCCGTAGTGTTCCATAAACAAATCTGACATCCTTCCATCTCACCAAGATCATTCTTATTAACAATGTCTCCTGCAATGAAATTCCACTTATTTCTCCATGTGGGAAATTGAAAAGGGATTTTCTTGTATGCAAGGGCTGTCCCTAGCTTTTGGGGGGTCTTGGAAAGATCCTGGAAAGGGGCCCCTCCAGATTAAAATTTGGGCATACACTACTATTATCAGCTCCCATCCCAAGCTCAATTGGCTATTTAGAAGAATTAAATACATTAATTAAAAAAGTCATTTAATAATAGCTTTGAAAAACACATAATAAATAACGTACAAACAGGAACAATAGGTACACATTTTAAAAAGATAACATATTGTACCATTGAATGTAATAACATGATACATGAATCTGTTTGCTTCCAGTAAAACACCTCAAGCAGTCTTACGTGTGTAGGTAGTAAATATGGCTTTTCTACTGTTTGCATGGATCTGATCAACTCAAAACCAAATGAAATATAAATGCATTATTACAGTAATTTGATCTGGCATACCTCTGTTTTGAGATCACTTGTCTTACTTTTCTTTTCTGTGCTTCCTTTTTTGCAGTCCCCATAGGTACGTCATTTTGGAGGACAATGTGTGTTAACCAGTTGCAGCTACATAATTTAAATTTTAAACCATAATAACATAGTTTGCAATGCAAGTAAAAAGTCACTTGCAATGTTTCAATACATGATACAGTAGATTAATAAAATAAATCATCACAACATTTACTACTTTCTGAAATTAAACAATTCAGTATAGCAGCAGCTGCAGTTGCACTGATCTTGTCATCTTACAGTGAAGATGAAAGTCATTTACTACATTGAAAACACTTATTATTATAATATTATAATTTATAAATAACAAACTTTATCAATTAAGATTAGCACAGCAGCAACAGAAAGAGCAACTGGTCAAAATTTTTATTTCACATTTCTGAAAGTACCTAAAAATAAAAATGTTTTGTTGCACAGTTTTTGAGGGGGTCTATCTGGTGGCCTTGGAGCCCTAGGCAGTTGCCTAGTTCGCCTAAACCAAAGGTTGGGCCAGCTTGTACGAACTGAATGATTGTGGAAAATAGGAGAATGAGCATGTCTTCAAACTTCAACCTGCATTGAGCTCCCAGATTTGGTTGTTTTGGAAACAGCTTTCTTCTTTTCAGTCCAATACTATGAGTTTCAGAATTAAAGACAGAGCTCACAAAACCAGTACAAATGAAATTTTAAAGTCTGCAGAGCAAATTTACTTGCAGATCTTTCATTCTGGCAAATTTGATTAATGATTACTTTCCTATATGCATTCAGAAATTTGAGTATGCAGTTTATCACAGTACCCTAAAGAGGTAGAAAAAGAAATCAAAGAACTAAAAGCAAACAACATCTATTTTTATTATGGAGATATGAGGGAACTAGGAAAACTGAAGATAACTCAAGAGGAACTGAAGAGAACTAGGACAATTTGTCCATCTTTTAATTTAGTGAGGGGACTCCCCCATCAGGGGTCCAGAAATTTGAATAAGCAGGTTGTTGTCATGTCAATTCACTCAAGGCAAAATAAAGCCCAATATATCTTTTGTCTCAATATATTGGATTTTATTTTTGCTCTTCCACTTTCAGAATTTTGGTCTTTTATTTCATTAAAAGTGATGATGTTTAATTTTTAATTCTGTGCTGTTGCAAGTGCTTATGGAACATTTCAGTGATATGTCTTCAAATTATAGCAGCTCATACCATTTAGGTTGTACAGTAATATAGTCCTTTCCAGATACTAGTTGTCTTCTTCATTCAGATTGTTTTTTAACCAAAACACACACTGTACTGCACTTCTCACAGTAAAATACACAATATGCTCTCTCCAACAAATCTGATTGTCACATGCCATGCTGAATACTGTACATAATTATCCAAATAACTATTTCACAAGGAAAAACAACACCCAAGAATAAAAAGTATTTAAGAATGGCTGAGGGGCATCCCCTAGGCCATCGAGTGAGGAGGCTAGGACCCCCTCACGCAGTGAAGCTTGGGGGGATGGAGGAAGAATGCATTATAATATTATTCCTTTCCTACACAACAATCTGTGGGTTTAATTTAATTTCATGTTATAAATAGAATAGATATTTTATATATGACTGTGCATGCAATTAAATTAATATAAAATTATATTAAATTAATATGCATTATATCAGTAACATAATGTTTAAAGATTGTTTTTCTAACTGTGACAGTTGGAACTAGATGAAGAACGTCGTAAGGAGTCAGTTGGTTTGTGTGGCAGCTATGAACTTCCAGGTAAGACTTCCTTTTTTCCAAAACCATCACCACATTTTAGCCACTGTTATATGCTTTGCTTTTGCATTCTAATGTAATAAGAAATATATTTTCCAAATTAGATGACAGCAAGAAATTGATTTCTGAATATCAGATTTCTAATGGAAACCAATGTGAAACCAAGGATGAAAACACAGAATGTAACGAAGAGGTAAATATTTTTTTATAATTTAATTTCTTGATTTTTTATGTTAAGCAAATTCACAGAAAACAATCAGAAGTACAGGGCAATTAATCCACATGTGAAAATGATTTAACACAGCAAACGGTTTATGACTGGAAACCCTACTGTAAGAACAAAAAAGAATACAGTAACAAAGAGTAAAACAACCATGATAAAGGCTATTTATAACTCAGTATACGTAGAATGCTCTTTTACATACTGGGGAAGATATAAGTATAGGGTAGTTCAGACCTGTATTTCCATTACATTCCATTGCAAGTCTGCTCCAGCATATGAGCACCTGGGTCTAATGATTTTCTGTCAATTACGCTGATTTTACATTTTCACCATTTCTTTTATCTTTTTGTCAGCATTGTCAAGACGTTATATCAGAATATTTCATGGATTGTGTGGATAACCCCGATACCTTTATTGATCTTTGTGCAACCAATGCTTGTGGCTACAAAAACAAAACCAAGTTTGAATGTTCACTTTATGAAGAATTAACACAAATTTGTATCGAGGAAAATATATATTTAAGTACATACACAGGGTGTGGTGAGTAATTAATTTTTCCATTACGTTCCCTTTAATTTAATCACCAAAAATATAAACTGTATCTTTTCTGTCAAGTAAATCAGACATGGAAATAATTTTATACCGTATTTTTAAAATACCTTTAAAAACCCATTAACATACACACCTACAGTATGGTGTGTAATACAGATGTTTGTCCAATAATCCTTCTAGAGCTAGTTAAGAACAGCACGCAAAATGTAACGATATTCTTTAACTGGTCAAAGTGTCAATACAAAATTTTACGCAACGTATACAAGGAACATTACTTTTATCATCCATGCTCCAAAAGCATTGTTGCTTTCTTTTTGAACAGAATGTACTGTGGATAGATATTGTTAAAAATGGGTGGTTATGAAAATGGAAAATACCAGGATATGACCTTGCGGATTAGTCAATAATAAAATAAACAGTTAATAAATAATAAAATTAACAGTTAAAAAATAATACAATAGCAGTTGGTATAGTTAGAGGCATGTGAAATCTTTGTTCTCGGGCACAGATTTGGTGAAAAGAGTAATAATCTTGGTTAAAAACATATTTATTAACAATGACAATACAAACATTACACTGCATGAAACATAAACAAACAACACACAAGTTACTGTATTTACAAATTTAAAAATAAAGTTTTCCAGAGACCTAAGATTGTAATCACCCAGAAAACTCCAGACTGTGGTTTTCTGGGTTAATTAGAGATAAGCTGCCTTCTAAATAAAATAGAATGCAATACAACCTGCAGTTAAATCTCTCTCTGCATACCTGGATGCCACAAAACAAAGGGGAGCCTATCTTCTTTCTTTTAAAAATGCACACTGAGGCAGGAAAGGACATCTTTACCAAAAGTGTTATTGACTTAAGAAATATAAGTTCTCGAAAACACAGAAGCTCTCCCTAGCAAGGTTCAAAAGACTCCACTTGAGTTTTGCCTGGAGCAAGCTACAACTCCACCTCTCCTCTCTCTTGTGGTTTGACCTTCTTTTCCTCCTTTTCCTCCTCTTTCCTCGGTCATGATGTGATCTTATATTGTGTCTTTCTGGATTGCTGATTGACACTTAATAATTTACACAGACTTAATTATCTAAGGTAAACCAAGATAAACTATGATTGCTTTTGATCACAGGATCTGGACCCACTACATCTCAGCACACATCCCATCTGCTTTAAAAGTGGAAATGTTTACACTGCTAGGTGTTACACACTTGACCTAAACTTTTTCAAACACTAGCCACCAATAGCTCTAACAGTATGAACAAACATTTGGCTAAATATATCATTAGACGTCCTCAAGAACTCAGTGTGCAGTGAATTGTCCCCTACTGGGTTTTGAACACCATCTCACAGGCACCTCTGAGCCCTAAACCAAACAGTAATATGGTCACCTTAGACATCCCTTGTCTTCTGAGATTTCCAGAAGTTGTAATTATACAAAACACAATACAGTGTCTAAGGGGAAGACTATTATGCAGAAATACTATATATTCTGTAGTCTGTTAAAAGACCAGACTTTTAATTGAAATCCAAACTAGAGGAACATTAAGATTAAGCAAAATAGGTCTTACAAAATGATAGTATTGATGATTTGCAGAGTAGACATTTCAGGTGGTTCCTTTTATAAAAAAAAATCTGAAATGTAAGTATGCAATCTATCCTAATACCCTAAAGGGAGAGCAAAGTAAAAGTCAAGACAGGTTCAATGAATGCTAGAATTGGTATGTCAAGAACCATCTCTTAGCTCAGTGTGTGTGGGACATGGACATTTCCTGTAAAGGCAAGCTCTGTGGCTAAGGATCTGCGCCTGTGACTGGAAGGTTGCTGGTTCAAATTCCGCGGCTGGCAGAGGAATCCTACTCCGTTGGGCCCCTGAACAAGGCCCTTAACCCTAACTGCTCCAGGGGTGTCGTACAATGGCAGACCCTATGCTCTGACCCCAAGCTTCTCTCTGTGTCTGTGTCTCCATGGAGAAAAAGCTGGGGTATGTGAAAAGATGAATTCCTAATGCAAGAAATTGTATAGGGCTAATAAAGAAACATTATAATTATTATGTCTGCAGGAGAAAGACTAGTAAATGAAGATTGCAGAAGCATTATATATTTTACCCAATCATAATGAGTGTCCATTCTGTGTGGGATCTGACACAATGTTCCGCTCTAATAGAAGGAATATGTACTAATATCTACAAAGGGTTCTTTGCTTTAGTGTCTCAAAAATATGTTGATTCGTTTTATAATTTTGGGGTATAATTGTGCTGTAGATCTAAAACATACGTACAGTAGCTTCATTTGGTTAATTTATAAATAGGATAATTAGGTTTTAAAGACTACGTATTCTGATTTGCCCTATAAATTGAGATTTCTTTTTAGGTTATTGAGATTAAACAGAGATTATTTCAAAACTGGAAATTAGAATAAAAAAACCGAAGCCATTATACATGCCAGGCAGTGTCACACACACACACACACACACACACACACAGTACGTACAGTATAAAATGCCCCTCTGACTATTTCAAGATTACCCAGAGAGCTTCATAGGTTTCTAGCCATGCATCTGTTGCATACAATGTACTGCAATCTACTGTGCATAGGCAGAACTGGCCAATTGTTTCAAAGACATGTCAGAACAGTGAGGAACAAAGATATTTCCAAGCTAATAGTTCACCATATAACCTCTCCCGGAGATGATTAAATTATCTTCTTGCCTTTGTACTGAAAGACATCAGAAGCCAAGATAACCCATACACCTGGATCACACACCCCCTTTTCTCAATAATACACAAAATTATTTTTAGAATAATCTAATAATCTCTCCATTACTCTCCATTTACAGACATCAGTTTTTCATACTCCTCTAAATCTCCATTTGTCTAGACACTCTTACCTGATGCACCTATTCTCACTCGCTCTTTTATTTCAGAAAGAAGGTACAGCTATTGTTGTATCTTCGTTTCAGCAGATGTCTAAAAAGATAATTAATTCATAAAATGAATGTTATATACAAGATTGTAACATTGTAGAAGAACATTTTATAGCTGAGAAAAAATAAGGCTCATAAGCTAGCCCTGTAGGATAAACAAGTAACTTTATTAAATCCATCATAAATATTTATTTACAGGGGTCATTTTCTTGATTTTATCATCACCCAGTTTCGAAGAGTCCTTGTACATACAGTAGATCTTGTTGGACAGTATAGGTCTCTCTTAAGATATCTGAGTAACAATATAAAACCTTTGCTTTTTGTTCTTAAATACAGGTGAACCAACTTGTTCTGGAGATCTAATATTCACCAAATCTGGAAAAGCCTTCATGGAAACTTGTTCTAACCCTAGTACACCATCTAATGTACCTTTTACAAAGACTTGTACATGCCCAACTGGTAAGCTGTTTTGTATTAATACTACAGGATTGGCCTCATATTTTCTTGAATCTTGCTCAATGTCACAATGTCACAATGTCACAATGTCCAAAACAGACAATATCCCACTAGACCCCAATTACCAAACAAATATACCAAAATAATGCAGTCCAACAGTTCTGTCCTCTCTCAAGTGCCTTTGGTAGCTTTAATTCATCTTCTCTATCATATCTCACTGCTAGTTGTGACTGTCCCGAACAACATGGTCCCTTATGCGTACCCCTACCTTGATTTCAATGTGTCCAATCTCAGGTAGGGAGGGAGGAAGATGATGCTGGAGCCTTTCTCAGCTGCTATTTGTAGAGTGCCTGGTGTCAGTCATCTACTGGGTCCAATACTGTGATCCGTTCCACAACCGTCCTTTCTTCCTAAAGATTCCAGTTCTGAGTGACTGGGGCTTTTTCAAGCCTTCTTTACAAAGGCTCTTGATTCTTCCCCCAAGGAGTAAAAATGTCCTTCTGATACTTTGTGTGAGGAGAACCAGCTGCAAAGGCTCCTTTAGGAAATGGCAATATGCAGATGATCAGGTGTAATGACCCACTGTTCCAAAACATCCTTCCACTACCCCCACCTCAATTAAAGGCACAAAACTTCTTAAACATCTTCCAGTTTTATCCCCAGATGATGTGGTAATTGCCTGGCATCTGTGCTAAGAGGGCCTTTGATCAGGACAGGAAACACAGAGGTTGTCACAGGACCATCAATGAAATTGAACATCCATATAACTCTCATGCCCTAACACCCACCTTTTTCATTCTGTGCCACTAACACCAGAAAAAAATACATGTGTATACAGCAGCTGGCATATTTACTGCATCATAAACTGAATGAAACTGTATTTTGTTATGTTGATGTTTTATGAGTTGAAGGTCTGCATTAATTACTGAAGAAAGTATTCCCCAGATGAGGATTTTCAATCTTATAACCTGTATTGTTTCTTATGAATGCAATCTGTAACAGATTTGAGGGTGTTCTGAGTTTATGTCTGTGGTTGTGTCTAATTGGACAGAAAACATCCCCACTTCTCTTACTTCACCTGCAATACTTTCTTTTATCGTTTTCTTTTACCACATTATATAAATAACAACATTTAATTAAATCAAGGTCGACAAAGACTCCTGGCAGTGTATATATTTCCTTACCTTCACATTCTGTGCTATATCTACTAGATCTGCTAGATCAAACTCAGCAAAAATCTCTGACTCTCCCTCAGTGCTTTGCTTTTTCTAATCTCAAATCCTGTGCCAACCATCACCCCAGCTGCAAAATCATCACCAGAACTACGGGAAAATAGATTAATTAGCTTTGGACATTTTGTAGTAGTACACTTAAATGAAATTTGATTGTTTTTCTGATTTGTTTGGTTTACTTCTTAAGTGTCTTTGCATTTATGTTCTAAGACAAATATAATTAATTCAGCAATTAATTTCCTCTATGTTAGAAATATAAAGTAACATACTGCCACAACATGGGCATATGACTTCAGTGGTTGATTTGTACCAGGCCAAATAAATGTGAGTTGGTTAGGAAGAAGTTTGGTGGGACAAGGTTATGTAAATGAATTATCTATACAAATTGTTAGTAAAATATTTTAGTATGAGGATTACAGGATTACGTTTGACTGTAATGACATTTGTAGTTTAACCACATCTGTTTTGCTCAAACTTTCCAATAGTCAGACTAATCAGTTAACTGATTGTGTAAATAATTAAATCAGCTGGATAAAAAGTCAAACAGGTATCTGTGACATTGATGTTCAGATTTTGGGCACACCTGTTTAACTGGGTTATTGTTATATAAATATAATGCAGAAACTACAGTATAACGAATGAGAAGGAACCATTTTATTTTTTGCTTATTTAGTTGCTTGTAGCTGAACTAGTCTATTGGGCTAACTTTGTCTGTACTTTACAAAAGATTGTAAAAACCTGAATCAATTTGTGTACTATCCTCCTCATTTAAAACCTAAAGAGTCACTTCAATTTAACCTGTATGTGTATGACTTTCCTGTAGTATGTGGAATTGGTCACTTTGAACTATTTCCAGTGATCCTTTTACAGTAGTTACATGTATCAAAACATTATTTGTGATTATAATGTTATAATTTGAATTTTTAACATTATAGGCAAAGTTCTTAATGATCATGTAGGAAAAAAACAGTGTGTGAAACTGGAAGACTGTCCTTGTGTATTTGCTGGAAAGGTGTATCAAGCTGGTTACAACCTTGCAACAAAGTGCCAGAAATGGTGAGTTTCATATAGGAACTAAATAATTGAAATGGTGCACATCTGTTTTTAAGATCTACTATATTTCTCCATTTAACTCTTTAAATGATTAAATATTGTTTCTTCACAGTGTTTGCAAAGATGGGAAATGGGATTGCTCTCAGAAAAACTGCCCTTCAAGATGTAAAATTGAGGGCATTTTCGTGACTACATTTGATGGCAAAGACTACAGAATTCCAGGACCATGCAAATATTTTGTTGCTCAGGTAGTTAAAATTATTTCCCATTTTTTTAAGCTTTATAGAAATCAACATAATATTGAATTTATATTTGAATGTATATTACAGGATGTTTTTACATGATGTCGAATATGTGGATTTCTAATCATCCCCTTTTATTCCGACCTTTACATGATCATCCTACTCCTTTTGGGGTCCATGTTCCTTGAATGTCAGCCACTGCTGCCCTTCCCCCCACACTTTATCCTCTCAGACCAGGATCTGACCTGTGTCCAATCCTCAGCTCAACCAGCAAGTTACTCTTCTTTATCTCACACTTCAAATGTTTGATAGACCTATTTCATGACGGATGTTCACAGAGGTTTTCTAAACAGTCCCCTTGTTTCTCCTCCTTCATCTGTATAACACATTGGCCCTTAGAAGCTGCTACTTGCACATTATCTGAAGAAAAGCATTAGATAATTGACTTATCCACACCTAATAATTCTTCTCTTCCTAGCATTAACAGTCAGATTTCCATCTTGGATTGTTCCCTTCACTATGGCACCATTAAGCATGCTACTTCTCTCGTAGATCAAAAACTACAGTATGCCTCTTGACACCAATCTTTGGCATGTCTTTGGTGTATGCTGGTGAAGTAAATCTTATTAAACACTAAACACCATGAGGCCCTTTGTTGAATCCTGCTGAACAACAACAGGCTTTGATTTCTTCTTCTTTTAATCCTCTTTTGTTCCAGTTATTTTGAATTTCAGTGATTCTCTAATCCATAATCTTGGAGAAAGTATATTACTCCAGTAATATAGATAGTATATTAACAAGGTCTGCAGTCAATGACTATTTAAGACTGTGGCTTCCACCAGGGGTGCTTAGCCATCATAACATAATGCTCTAGTACTATTCAGAAGAAAGTCTTAATGTCATACACTATTCAGTAGAATATAATATCATGCAGTTTAGAAGAATAGGCTATTGGTACAAAATTATTCAGGGTATCTACATTTGCGTGATGAATTGAGGATTTCTTACCATTTTTTTGGTTTGCAGATGTCCTTTTTATTGCTAAGCAGCAAAGTTAAGATGATTCTTTTCCTCAAATCTCACTTTTAAGTTCTACATCATTAGAAAGGTGCACAACACTTTAAACATGGAGTTTTAGTTCCACTTAATGAAATACTATTTGTATTTTATGTGTAGTATCTTATTGAATTTCGCCTTAGTTTAAAATATGAATAGTATTGGAGATAAATCTGCTCAAAATCTCAATGTTTCAGGAAATGGACTGAAGGTGCCAAGGGCATCTTTGGAAAGCATGCAGTTAAACACTATAGCAAAAGTTAAGCAATAAATAAACACATCAACAACAATGTAAAAATATAAAAATAAGTAATAAAGAACAGGTCAATACCAATTACTGCATTATTGTTGAATACATTTCAATGCACTGGAATTTAGATTACAGTAATGAGGGAACTGTATACTGTATGTTTAAGATTTGATGGTGCTTTGTTTACATATTTCTGTGCTGGAATTTGAATGTTTGATTAAACTTTTAGGCCTTACTCTCAGTCACAATGACACTGATAAAAACAACAATCAAATATAAGATATTATTTTAAATTGATAAAATGCCTTTCTTTTTATATTCTATTCACTTACAGGGGCTTAATTGGACTCTTGCTGTTGAGTTTTCTAAAAAACAAATCTATTTAAGCAGTGTTAAACTTGAAATTAACAAGGTAAGATTTTGTTTAATTATGATACAAGTCTGTACTGAGAAGCATTGCAATTGCAATAAATAAGTATTGTAACCAATAGCATGTTAATACCTTTTTATAAATATGTATTGCATGTATGTATATTATTAAGAATTTATGCATATACTGTATGTACGGTGTGAGAAACAAGGTATACAGTATGTCTGTATATGTCTACTGTATATTGAACAGCAGCTACTGTCATGAATATCTAATCTCGTACACAAATCAAAATAATTGTATTTCCATACACAAATACAGAAGGACATTACCACTTTTGTTGCATGTGACTATTCACATTATTTAAATGAATGATTACAAATCTCGTTAATCTCATTTTAGTTCTAAAACTTATTTTAGAAAAGTTTTAGAGCCTGGCTAATCCTGGATTTAAGAACAGTACAATAAGGTACCAAAAACACTGATCTATACTATTTTTAACAATCTGTCTATTGTGTTGTTACATCCATAGTGTAGTTGACATAAATATTGGTACAGTGTTAACCTACACCACATACATTTCTGAAAGGTTTACTTGATACTTCAAAATTCTTCAAAATTGCAGGAACTCTATGAATTCTCCATATCAGACAAGAACAATCTTGAAAAATATGAATTTTACAAATCAGGTGAGTTTACAATAGCACGATGATATAATATGGTTAATATTTTAATAAATCTGAGTTTCTGATACACAGTCTACAGCCATTTATTGTAGGAATTCTCTTGAGATTTACTACATTGTAATACAGTTTGTGGAGTATAAATAATAATAAAACTTTATATTATTTATTGCCTTTAAAACTTTTTTAACAAAGCACTTTACAGTGAGAAAAAGTACTAACAGTATTTCAATATTTCATGGATTCATTATATTTTATTAAAACTAATGATTGTTATTATTCTGCTGTACAAAAATATTAGACAATTTGTATTGCGCCTTTCTTTTCATTTTTTTTTCTTAATGCAGAAACAGCTTTCTGTGGTGAAATCTGAAATGTTTGTCCATTTTGTTTAAACCATCAGTCAATACAAATACACCTGAAATTTGAAGGAAGGAAAATGGCCTTTAAGAGTCATTGATATTTAGTCAGTTTGCTTTAATCAGTAAATGTGTATTTTCAATGTTTTAAAATTTGTATCTTCTGTTTGGAATGTTTTATTGATCTGTGCATAATATATATATTTACATATGTCTTAGAACATCTGAAAACTTTCCGACAGTCTTCAATGTACATTCAAGTAGAGACATCTTTCGGGTTGAAGATGCAAATTCAGGTGTCTCCTTTAATGCAGCTGTACCTAACATTACCCGAAAAACTCAAAGGGACAACGAATGGTATGAAATATACATACTGTATATAGAACATTAAAGAGAATCAAATATGTCAAATGATTGTCCTAAGAGCTCTGTTTTTTTTATTTCATGAAATTAAAAATTATTAAAGTTAATAAGTTAATAAAGTTTTTAAGTTATTAAAAAATAATTTCTGAGTATGTTCAGTAAAAAAGAACATTTCCTTTCCTGCAGATATAAAGACACTACCATCACTAAGAAATGTCTTCTCAGTCTTTTAACAACACAAATAAAGACACACTTCATTAACATTTTACCAAAATCTAACCCATGTTGTAATAAATACATTACAAATACATGTTAAACATATAATAAATGTTGTATTTGCTGCTAGTTTCAGATATGAAAACTTATATTTCTATTCTTACATGTTTATTTTATCAGGTCTATGTGGGAACTATGATGATGACATTAAAAATGAATTTACTGCAAGCAATCATATTATTGAGAATTCAGCTGATGAATTTGCGAATTCCTGGGTGTCAGGAACCTGTGAAGACAAGATACCAACGATCTGCACCAATACACCAAATGGTAATACCATCCTACATTTACAAGAATAACTGAACTTAGTTGGGCAGTTGTCTGTTTGTGGTCAGTCAAATATTATTTTATATATTGTTAAAATGTAACAGTTTATTTGATTTGATTCAGGACAAACATGTCTGTTGTATACAGTATGTAGAGTTTTCCAGCTTTTGGAAGGTCAACAGAAATTACACTGGTGTATTCTCTACTTAAAAATAGAGTCAATTTGAAAGATTCTTTCTCTACATTCTCACACACTTACCTTACTAATATGTGTGGTTATACAAGTACATTATCTAGTGTTACAGACTATAATTTATTAATATAATCACCAATAGTTTTTACAGGTAACTTCTTCAAGATTAGCTCTCCTCCCTTTTGTTAAATTATACTATTTATTCTTGTTACTTGTGAGTAATACTTTAGGTTGAATAGATGCCTAATATATTTTTTAATAATGAAAATATGAAAAAAGAAAGGTGAAACAGCAAATGAAAATAATATAGAAATAGATGTTTTTAAAAGTAAGAAAAGTAATAACAATATTGATAAAAGGATAATAGAATGGGATCATAACACACTAGGATAGCAGGTAAAGAAAAAGGATGGAAATATACATAAAAATAGTACAGAGGTAGATAAGACTTAGAATACCATACACCTAAAGAGGTTGCTACTGGTTTCTGATACCCCTGTATGCTGCAGAAGCAAATCAATGGATTGTAACATGTGCTGACTCTATCAGGTTGGATTTTTCAAGCAGCATATTTATTTAAGTCACATTTGTGATGAATAAAACAAAAGATTTTGAGATGTGTGTAATTGATTGACATCAGTACTATAAACATCTCAGTCAATATGCATACAGAATCTATGAACAAGTAACCTGAAGAAGGCTCCACGGCCGAAATGCTGTGTTTTCTTTCTTCTCTTTTCAGCATTGAATAAACCTATTACTTGTTCCTTTGCAGCCTACACATGCTGACACAGCTACCCACCTGAACTATATAGTATCTATGACTGTCTCATTACTAAAATATAATGGAATTCTTATCTTATATACTTTTTATTTTATGCAACAGACTTATATGGAAAAAAAAACTGTGACTATATCAAGGACCCTACAGGGCCATTTGCTAAGTGCCATGATTATGTGCAGTATGACAACTATATCAGGGTGAGTTTTTTTTTTTCTTTACACTCTTTTAAGACAATGAAGTAACCTAGCAGGTATTCTGAACAGGAAATATCACAATTCAAATATCTAGTAAGTGATTGATCCTTTCTGCCAGGAACCCAAAAGGAACAGTGGCTATTGCATCAGCATTCACCTACAAAGGTCTTAGAGTCACTTAAACATAACAAACAGAAGATATTGGTGAGGAATACATTAGTAGGTGTGCAGCTTTGCAAGAAGAAAGGCAGGACAAAAGTGGAAGAGTGTCCCTATTCAAAACTAGCATATAAGCAAAAAAAAAAATATAATTTAGATAAATATTTTTTTAGAATCAATTTATCTGGTGACTTGTTTCTATATTTAAACAAGGTGACTGGTTACCACTGTGCTAAGTAGTACTTTTTTCCTCAGCCTGGACCCCAGTTAAATATGGTAGCTGTGGTGCACAGTGGCGCATTTTTCATTTTCCCTTTTTGTTCTTATTTTTACGCTTTTTTGTGTTATTTTCAGTTCTTGTTAACCTTACAGCAGTACTTCTGTCCCTTAGTATGGGCGTCGACTAAATACCGGTGCTTGCTGCAGCTTCTCCCATTCCCATATTGTTACACATGGCGCCCAACATAGGGCCTCAGTTGAAGAGGTTAGCAAACCTCTTGCGAAGTGTATTCTCACGATGGCTGCTTCAGCGTTCAGGTCTGTTTCTCTAGGCTGGATCCCGCTGTTTCAAGCTGTCCCTTCTCTCCCCCCCGGTGTTCTGGGCTGTTTCAAGAGGTTCCATGCTGGCCCGAGTGGTTTCAATGGTCCCCGACCCCACTGTTCCAAGCAGTTCCCCTTTTTCTGTCCAGTCTAGACCCGGATTTCATAAGACGTTTTTATTAATTTGGCCTGGACCCAGCAGTAAGGTGGCGTTCGTTAGCTTTTTTCTATTTCCCGAAAGAGATGATTTTTCCCCTCCCTGCTCTTCCACACTGGACTCTGTTGAATAGGGTAAGCCCAGCCTGGATGCCATGGTGAACAGCGGTGCATTTTTCTTTTTCCGTTTTTATTCTTGTTTTTGCCCTTTTTTGTGTTACACACACCGGTGCTTCTGTCCCTCAGTAGGGCGTCAACAAAATACTGGTGCTCTCCATGGCTCCTCCCACTGCCATATCGTTACAATCATTAATTGTTTGTTTTTTATATTTCCCTATATTATGATTCCTTACATTGTGTAGACAATGAAAATGATGTCAACACAGACATCTAAAGCTTTTTTAATAAGCATCTTCAAGAATCTCAGTGTTTCCTATATAACCTGACTAGTTTACTAACTGTACTGTAATATTCCCATGTGACAACATAATGTAAGTTTATGGGTAGAGGCAGGGATGTGAATGAGGTGTCACAGAGAGTTATAGAATAAAGTGTTTGTTCTTGAGCAACACATTGTTGTCCTGCATGCTTTGTTCATACACAAAGCATGTAAAATAAAACAAAATATATACCAGAACCTAGATTTAGATTATTGATAAAGTTTACAAGCAGCAGTAATCCTAATATACACCACTTTTGTGTCTACTAATTATGTCAAGACAATTTAAGCATTTAACTCCTAACTGTACTTTAAGGCTTCTATCAGTTAACAACAAGGTTATGGATCCCGGGTTCACACTTGCTGAATACCATCTGAGAATAAATTGTGAGAACCTTAAGGACCCTCCTGAAAATCCGAATATACAGTACTTGGTAAACCTAAATAAATCACTGAAGATGCTAAACTTGCATCCTCTATCCTGTATATCTGTCTAGAAGTTCACCTCTGTCCTCTTCTAGATAATGACTAAAAATAGTCAAAATAGACCAAATGGGATTCTTGGGAGAGTGCTGGATGAAATCATTGGATCTATATGGGCTACCGATTGAGCTACAGTACACAGTAGTCCTTATCCATTTCATTATAGGATAAATGTTCTTATGGAACAAAGCAAAGTTTTATACATTAAAAGATAAAAAATGTAGTTCTACATGACATAAGGCATTAATAAATAACATGCATCATTTGTTTTTCAGACCTGTGAAGAAAGTGTGTGTCATTGTGCTGAAAATGTTCAAGATTGCTTGTGTACTGCTCTTGGTAACTATGCCAAAGCTTGTGCTGCCCAGGGAATAATTGTGGAAGACTGGAGAAAAGATGATTGCAGTATGTTCAATTCTTTGTTATTAATTTTAATAAACAATAACCTGATTCAATACCATAACAAGGACTAATTACCATTAAAAATCACCTATTACTGGGATGCATAAAATCACCATTGTTATTTAACTTATTTGATAGGGAGCTAGTCATCATATTATATCTTACTGTATATCTCTTGTGGTATTGTTTAATATTTCAGTTGTGTCATGTCCCAAGAACCAAAAATTTGAATACATCATGACAGCCTGCAATCGTACCTGCCGCTCCCTCTCTGTGTACGACTTTACGTGTGAAATCAAAGACGACCCTGTGGAGGGGTGTGGATGTTCAGAAGGCTCCCACATGGACAATGAACAGACCTGTACATCAACATTTCAATGTCCGTGTTACCATGGAAATGACATTTATAAGCGGGGGACTTTTGATATCGCTGGATATCAATCCTGGTGAGTCTCTTCACAGGGAGAGAAAGTCAGATTTTAAATTTGTGTTGCACCTCTTAAGAGACTTTGAGAAATATTTCTTTGTGTAATATGTTAATGACAGATATACAATATTTTTACACAGCTTAAAAAAATATGATTTTATGACAAAAACACTAAGCACTTTAATTATTAAACTATTTATAAATCTATAGCACATGATACCGTAAAAGCAAAACAAATTAAGTTCCTTTTTTTCCCAATCATTAATGTGAAGGCAATCTTTCTGTCACCAGTGTATCAAATTGTCCCTTTAGTATAAAAACTCTTTGCAGAGACTTTCAATTGTGCATTTTTGTATTTATTTATATAACTCTATTGTCCATCTGTAAAGGTGGAATTTTGTCTTTGGATTCACCCTAATAAAACTACAAAAAATAAATAACACTCAACATAAATGAAATACACCTTAAGAACAAACAATAGTCCAAAACATGCAACAATACATACAATACGCATAATACTGTACAGTAAACAATACATCTCACTCTGCCCATGTATTACACTATATTGATACAGCTTCATACAGCATACAGTCACTTACAAGAACTGAGTTTAACACACCAATTGCACAGGGAACAAATTATTTCTTGTATATATTTTTCTTGGCCATAGGCAATTAAAACGCCTCCCAGAAGGCAACAGTTGAAAATGGGAGAGAAGATGGCGGGAGAGGGAGGGGTCATCAAAGACAAGCTGAGCTATTCTTTGAACTGAAATATAATATACCGTAGCTCTTTAGGTTGTTTCGGTGGTTGACCAATTATTTGGACCATACCATGCCTTTGAAAGGGTTTTGTACAGAGACCATATAAATATAATTGTATCCAGTGAGCTTTGAAAATATGCTTACATTTATCAGTAGTATTAATATATTTAATACTTACTGTACATATGTGCTAGAAATCTAATGCTAATTTTAAATGTAATTTCAGCAATTGTGAAGATGGGATACTTGACTGCAGTCCTAAACAAAGTAAGATGTAATTCAAGTTAAAATAAAATTACTGCAAAGTTAAAAATAAAAAAAACATATTTAAACATCATCCATCCATTTTAACTGCTTTATCCAGCATAGGTTCACAGGGGAGCTAGAGCCTAATCCACAAAGCAACAAGCACAAGGCAAGATGTACACTGGATGGGACACCAGTCCATCTCGGGGCACACACAGATAAACACACACACTTACTCTGTACTAGGCCAGTTTTTCCTAGAAGCTAAATAACCAGTTAGCCTTCAGACTAAGCCAAGAAACCTGAACAAGTTGAAGAAACCTATGCAAATATATTCAATAGCTCTTGAGATAGCATGCCAGGAATTCAAAATGCCAGAATGCAAACCACAATTGAACTTCATATTTTATCAAATCAAATCATATTGAACAATATCTTGTCTTGTATAATATAATATTGTTATTTTTTAAACCAGTTGATGACCAATGGTTGTACTGATAAAACAGCAGAGTGTGATTGTTAAATGTAGTAAGTTGTCTACTTGATACTCGGTCAGTATTTCTAAATTTGGTTGAGTAGGTTTCCTTTGATGTTGAGATAAAATGATAGTCATAAAAAAAACTTTAAATTTCGATTAAAAACTCTATGCAGATGATACAGCATGTTAAAATAATTAGAATAATACAAGTAAGCCTAAACTAAAATACAAACTAAATTCATTTGACATATGTGTAACCAATAAAGTAGCACAGGATGTTAATGAACTCATAATCCTAAATGTAAATCTAACTTGTTCTTAAGAATAATACAGTATAAGATGTAAAATGCAAACTTCATTTTCCGATAAGCTCATGGATTGTAACAATATCTATCATTGTAAAACAAACTTTGTTCATGAAAGTCAAGTCTTTCTCCTAGTCAGGTTAAATGTTCCATATATTGCAATACTGAATATATATCAATGCATGTTATGTATTTTATACTTTCTACTGTTATTTCTTGCAGATTGTACAAAGGAGAAAATATTTGTTTACTGTGCTCATTCTTCTGTAAGCACAAGTCAAAAGACATGTGATAGTTTAAATCTGCCAAAGGTAGGTTCTGGTAAAGCCAAATTAGGTGGTGAAACAGTGAAGTTCTTTTGGACTATGTTTTCACATGCTTAAGTGTCAACTGAGGTAGAGAGCTTGTTTGCAGTCGCTAAAAACTTAGGGTTCTCAACTTAGGTAAGGTGAGCGTTGAGGCTTGAGAGAAACATTTTGAATAATCTTTTATTCAAATGAAACAAAACACGTGCGCCTTAGCTCTATAGCTGATGGCATGGTACTGGGATGAATGAAGGGGAGTCACTTGACAATGTAATGCAAGGCTCTTAATTTGAAGCTCAGGTGGTGCTCATGAGAGACATTCTCACGTGACAATCAGGGAAAGAGAAATAATTTAGATGGGTGCCTTAGTGGTGTTAGTGGCTCTCCAGTAGTGAAAAGGTGAAGTTTCCTTCCACTGTGTCACAGTGGGGATGATTCATTTTAATTGTTTTCTATTTTACTATCAGTGGAATATTAACATACTGTATGATGCTGCTGTGCTAACTGTGCTGGGAACTGCACAGTTAGCACACAGTCAGGGGAACGTTAAGCACTGCTGCGTGCAAAAATGTACTGGGTTGTGCTGAAAGTATACAGTACATACTGGATACTGAAAGTATACATACTTAGCTGCAGGCTGTGCAATGGCAGGAGAGTTGGGAACGTTGAGAACACAGGTGGTGTGGTGCTGCAACGAGCTCTGGACTCCTTGAAGTAGTAGAGCTCTGAGACAGGTAGAGACGATAGTTCAGATCTTTGGTTGAGAAGGCTGGGGTCAAAGCTGGTGAATCCTGTAGTGTGCTCTCACGAGGCACCAGTTCTGTAGGGGTTTGGGCATTTACTGGGACAATTATTAATTGTGGCAGTAAATCACAAAATGATTCTTTTAATGGCCTTAGAATTCAACCATGCGATATAACTCAAACAACGCACACACACACAGGTACTAATACACGAGGATACATTTATTAATAAATAGAATATGCATGTAACCCTAACAGATCTTATCGTGAGGGTTAGCAGAATACAAAAGATATATATTCATTCAGTTACAAAGAGTTACATTTACCAAGAGGACATATGTTCGGTATATCATTCATTTAGACCGTTTCGTAATTGAACTTGGTTACAATTTCTACACTAGATACTCGAAACAAGTACATAACTCTTAGGAATTAAATTGATATCAACTGGTTGGGATAACAATTGAATTCTCGAGCTGTAATGGAGTGAAGTTGAATACTCATTCAATCTCTGGGGATTCAGATCTCCTGCAGGCACAAAGAAACAGTTGCAGGCTTCTTGCTGTCCAATCTGCACTCTCTGGCTCCGTGCCAGGCTTTGCTCGGTGCGGCTTGAGAAATTCCTGCTGCACTGCTCTCTGAAGACCGGCTAGTTAGTGTTGGCTTTAACTAGCGAAGTTTGTGCACAGGAGAAAAGTGACCGTGGGTCCCAGTGGGTCAGGAAGAAGACCGGTACGTTCCTGATGAAGCGCTAGTTCTGAATACTGATTCAGCTGTCCACAGTTCCGACCTGTTCACGAGGTGTGTTGCTGATACTAACCTCGGGTGGATCCTTTGGTTACGCGTGGCAACCTCCGCTCTCGACTCTTAGAACAAAGCAAAGTTCTGGCCTTTGGACACACTGGCCGTTACGTGGTAGTCCGGGCTGAGTCTGAGGATGTTCAGGAGGAGTGCTGCGATAATGTCCTGCGCTTCCTAGCTGTTCTGGCCTGGGGCCGTCCTGCCCTGGAATTCTCTTTCCTTTTTGGAATTCTGTTATGCCTGCTTTTACCTGGAGGAACTTCAGCTTGTTCATTGGCTGAAAGTTTCATGGGCATCAGAGACCCACCTGGGTTATTCTGCCCTACCAGTTTCTGATTGGCTGATGATGAGTAACCATGCCCTCTGACCTTGGGGTTGTAAAGCACTTGGATGAGGCTCTCCCTTGGAATCTTGCAGACTTTTAGGCGCCAATGGATGACCATTGATCATGAGCCAGGCTTAGCTAAGTGCATCCCCATTTGGGAGCTGTCCCTTATCAAAAGAAAACATCTTTAAATCAGCCTGCATGAATAGCTTCTCTGTGGCTGCACCACAGAGATGTCGAGAGAGATAGGGCCTTACTGGCAAGGGAGCAGAAAACGTAATTCCTGTATTTTAATAAGCCTTGCCGCTACAATCCAAAAGCACAAAGGGAATATCCTATAAAACAAGGTTGAAGCAAACCAGGGTCCAAGCTGAGATAAACAATGTGGAGATACCAAGACAAGGATTTATCCGGGAATGAGGTTGAAACAAAGCAAAGGTCAGGAATCCAACATAGTAAAATAGGACAGAGAAAGAAAAACAAGATAGAGACTCTGAGAAAACGAGCTCAAGATACCCAGGGACGGAACTTGATCACAGAGCCATGATCAGCATCAGAGTCCTTAACATCCCTGTATCACCTGAATCAGGTGAGTTCAAAACAGTCTCCAGGTGATTCATATCTCCTGTCAAATTGTTGTTCATGGCAACTGAACATGTAGGTGGGTAGAGCAGTGGCTGGCTGCCAAAGTGCACATTGCCAAAGAGATCGGTGTGAGCATGACATTTATCAAATACATTATATATATATATGATATATAGTGGTCCTGCTGGCACATAATGCCCGCTGTACTTAAGTGGTGAACTGGGTTACTTCAACTATCACTTTAGCTTAGCATTACGTTGCACAGTATGAAACATTCTGAGATCTCATTAAATTTGTATCATACATTTTTATTGCAGTGATAAAAAATTAAAAGTAGTATATTTTAATATTGTTCTCTTTTCTAGCACACCAGCGAAGAATGTCAGAGTGGCTGTTACTGTCCAGAAGGAAAATATGAAGACCATAATGGAAATTGTGTTCCTCATGAAGACTGCACGTGTACATATAGTGGTCAAGTGTACAAACCTGGAGAAAAATTAAATTTACACTGTCAAAAGTGGTAAGTATAAAACAGAGTATCATAGGTGGAACTGAAAACTGTAAGCTGAGTTGCCAAAATCTACAATGCAGGGCTCATTCTCACATACAGTATATAACTTATTGCATTACAGCATTTGTCAAGATGGAAAGTGGATCTGCGTTGTTAATGATTGCTCTGGTAAATGCCAAGTTTATGGAGATGGACACTATCAGACCTTTGATTTAAAATCGTACAGATTTGATGGGAATTGTGAATATACTCTTGTGGAGGTAAGTTAATGAGCTCAAGACATTTATAACTTGGGGTATCTGTTGTATGTAGTGAACCACATAAGAATGTCTTTGAGATTTGCTCTTTAAACAAAGACAATGTTCAGAATTAAGATTTAGTTTTGATGTGAGTTTTCTATACTTCTTTGATGCACAGATGAGTTTGCTTATCCTTCTATGTCTTTTCGTTTCAGGATGACTGTGGTAATGGGAATGGAACTTTTGAAATCAAGGCAGAGAGTGTTCCCTGCTGTGATGAGGCTCTGACATGTTCTCGGGCTATTGTACTTGATATCAAGGTGTCAACAACTGATTTATTTATTTTCAGCCCTTAGTCTCTACTATTTTTAATTTGTAACTTAAATATGTTTCTTTTAATTTCAACAGGATCAAGTTACTTTAAAATTAAGTGACATGAATGTGACCATAAACTCACAAAATCCAAACTCCTGTGAGATTGAGCCCGTATACTCAGTTCACACAGTGGGGCTTTACATAATTATCACAGTTCCTAAACTTGGAATTACCTTGGTGTGGGACAAACATACCAGAGTCACCATCCTTCTGGCATCTAAGTGGATTGTAAGTGTGTTTTCCTTACTGAAAATCCATTGTTTTATAAAAAGGTTTTTTGTTGTTTTGCTGGTGAAACATCATCAGTAACGTGGTAGAAACATTTCAATCACTATTTAAAAAATGCCAGTTTATGAAAACATGATTAGTGTTATTTGAAGATACCAGAGTATTTTATTGTCATATGACATGGTTTCTGAAAGATCAAAGTTTAGTCTTCAAAAATATCAGTTATAAATGATAGTTTGATTTTTATTGAATGTTAATGTATTTATAGTTATGATGTTAATGATTTTGACTTGCATCACTCTTCCTTCCTTTTTTAACTTGTTCTTTCTTTTTAATACAAAAATGTGAAAACTAAATATGGAAATCTGCTTGAAATTATAATTAAATCATAGATCCAAATAGTAATTTTAAATTGACCATTACAAACTATTAATATGTATTTTTATATGGGTCACTTCAATCTATATTTAATATTAAAATAGTGACAACTACAAATACTTATTTTTCCCCTTTTCACATTAATTATTATTGTTTGATTTGCAGAATGAAGTGTGTGGTCTCTGTGGAAACTTTGACTCAAATGCAAAAAATGACCTCCAGACCAGATCAAAGCTCTCAGTGACGAAAGAACTAGAATTTGGTAACAGCTGGAAAACATCTGGTGCCGCTTGTTCTGATACAGTGAATGAGACATTCCCCTGTGAGAGACACTCTTATTGTTTCACATGGGCTGAAAGGAGATGCAGAATGATTCTAGAGAAAACATTTGAAAAATGTCATAGCAAGGTACTGTAAAATAATGCATACATGTTTGTTTAACTGGGGTATAAGTACTACATTATATATATATACATTATATATACACAGTATAAAGAATATTAATATTGGTCAAGATGAAAGTGGTTCATATACTGAATGAAACACCTGTACATTTAATTGAATTAAGGGTAATATGTTGTTCATAATCCATTAATGTATTCAAGATTTTTTTTAATTTTTGAAATTAACTGTTTGAATGCATATAATTTACCAGATCTCCAAACAAAACATTTCCAAAATAGAAAAGGTGAAACTGCTAACTGCAAGCAGGAAAAATACCTAAGGAATTGGCAATGATTATTGGGGTATACTTGGAAATCTATTTTCTGGGATATTCAAACAAGTCATTTGTGCTTGTTTGAAAGTGACAGTAGATTTTCTTTTTCATTTAATGTACCTTGTGCAGAGAGATCTGTGCAACTTTTGAGGATTCAATCACTTGTCAATATTGTGCAAATGTATTACTGTATATAACATCTCTACCAGAGAAGTTTATTTCAGCGACCGAAACATCTTCAGTGTTTGGAAGTTTATCTTTCTTAAATTATAGCTGTGAAAATTGCTTTTAACAAAGTCTTTGTCTTCATACTTTATTGTCCTATGTGTTGAAGGCAGAGGAACAAAATTACTTTATCCAACACATCATGAACATTTATAAGAGTTTCAGAACTATCTAGACAGGTTAAACCATTAAGTATATCTGTCCAACAGAGACTTAACTGCTTCCTACTTTCTTCATACAGTAAAATAAATATATATTGTACTGTTTAACCCAGAAAATTCATATTGTAGGAACAGAAATTTAATCTTTATCCAATATACTGCATAAGACGAAATCAGAAGGGGGCCCAAACCAGAAGGGGGTACGCCCTCTTAGATTGACTATGGTACAGTATCTTCTCAAAGCACCTGGAAACTATTTTGAGACTGAAATCACTATGCCCCCTATATTCACACTTATGAGATTAACGCCCATTGCATTCTCTAGGTATCTGGGCGTTTTGAACAAGGAGCCCTCTATTTTTAACAGGTTTGAGATCTTTATCAACTCAAGTTCTTAGTAATTCCACAGCAACTCAAACACTCCAGTGGCTATCAATGAAAACGAGGTATATTACTTCCTACAGCTTGGTGTGAGGTTTTCCATATAGCTGTCCTCATCTGTCATCTTCAGATGAGTGAGCCATGTGAAATTGTAGGACAACCAGCTGCTTAGTGTTTTGTGAATACTATTGCATCTCATTTTCTAAACAAAGGGCTAAAAATAAATTAAAGTTAAAAATAAACAATGAACTAAAATTAGGGGGCATGAATGGAGTCTAGAGAAAGATTTTTTAGACAAAAATTGTACTGCTCTTAATAGGGAGAGGTATTCTCACAGACAAATTGTAAAGAGAGACAATATTTCATACACTATCAGTGAAATACTTGGAAGCACTCTTTATTAAGATGCTAATGAAAAGAACTGTGATCAATAAGAACTAGGCACATAAGAATTATAAGGAAAAACAATTAGCAATATTATAGCCCTACTCAACATTTATGAACATTTTCCAACGTTTGAGCATTACTGTAGTATTTGCAGTATGGCAATTTTACTAACATACAGTACATATCCAAATCTGTCTTCACCTTTTTATCTGTTAAATTCAGGTGGACCCCAAGTACTATTATGAGGTGTGTGTGCAAGAGTCATGTTCTTGTGAGTTTGAAGGCAAATTCCTGGGATTTTGCACAACTGTGGCTGCGTATGCTGAAGCATGCAGTGAGGAGGGTGTCTGCATCCAGTGGAGAACCCCTGACTTGTGCCGTATGTCTCAGCGATTTCAGTTTTTTGTCTAAGATTATCTACTTATTAAAATATAAGTAGCAAAGTTTGTCTTAAACATAGAATGTATAGTACATGATACTAGTAGCAAAAGATATCTACCTATGTTTATTCATTTTAAACTGTTTCAAAATCAAATGCTGTTTCACGTCGTTGTGATATTATGAATTTGTCTACAAAAGCTGTCCTCTTAAGCTCCATTCTTCTAGGAATTAAACTGATTTATAAAGAAGTAAAAACAACACTTAAAGTCTTTTTATTTAAATTGATGTAGAAATATCCTTTTATGTTTAATTTCTAGATATATGAAAATGCTTTGTTCTATTTTTCTAGCTGTATATTGTGATTATTATAATAACCCTGGAGAATGTAGCTGGCATTATGATCCTTGTGGTAAAGTGAAAACATGTGGAAAAAACAATAAGTTCACTGGAAAGCTTGAAGGTAAGAGTGACACTTCCAATTGTTTCAGTTACACGTCTGGGCTGCCTCTTTTCTGCTAAGTTTTCAGCTTACTTTTTATTTTTAGTTATTTTTTTAGTTTTCTTTCACTAGTTCTTTGGATGAGCCATAAAACTGGGGTCCTGACTCTCTGTGGTCAATTCCAGAGCATTTCTCAAAAAGAGTAGGGGTGAAACCCTGGCATCCTGGCCAAAATTCCTATTGACCCTTACAAGTCATGGCCTCCTAATAATCCCCATCTATTAATTGGCTTCATTACTCTGTTCTCCTCCCCATTGATAGCTGATGTGTGGGGAGTGTTCTGGCGCACTATGGCTGCCATTGCCATTACCATCTGGATGCTAGTGGTGGTGGAGGGGAGTCCCCATTGCCTGTAAAGCGCTTTGAGTGGAGTGTCCAGAAAAGCGCTATACTGTATAATGTGTAAGCAATTATTATAGTATGATTCTTATGCTTATATATGTTGATAATCTGCAGTTATTTGAGAAATTCATTTTTAGAAAGGTTATAAGGAAGGGCATTCTGCCTACAGCATCTAGCCTCTTTTGTAGTTAGTAGTTAAATGATTGGTTACATTAGTTAGCATTACTGCCTCACAGCGCTGCGGCCCTGGGTTCAATTACAGATCAAAGGCCCTATCTGTGTGGAGTTTGTTTGTTCTCCCCTTATTCACGTGGGTTTCCTCTGGGTATTCCAGTTTATGGTTAGGCTTCTAGGAAAATTAGCCCTTGGTGTGAGTGTGTACAGTACATGTCTCTGTTTGTGTCTGTGTGTGCCCTATGATGGACTGGCATCCCAAGTAGTGTACAATTCTACCTGTTGCTTGACGGCTCCCCAGTGGCAATGAATTGGAAGAAGTGGTTAGAAAATGAATGGATGGATGATCCAAAAATCTCACAGCCATTTTTTAAAGGGGGATTACCTTCAGGAACATGGCTGGGAAACTTGTTCCAGACTCTTCAAACTTTGTGTGATGTAGTGCATCTTGTTCTGTGTTTGGAATACTTTTTCTACTCTCCATTTGTGTCCCTGTCCTCTGATTCATCTCTTTGTATTATCTAAATCCTAAATTAATCATATCTCTAGATAGGTTGCATCATCAGAAAATGTGTCCAATATGTTACAGATAATGCACTCTGTATAATGTTAGTGTTTAAAAGACAGCAGTAGGGTCAGAACTAAACTCTAAAAAATGTTTACAATGCTCAACTGAAAAACTTTCTGTTGCTCAAAGTGTTTACCCACAAAATATTTTAGATATTTTCTCAATGTCTTAAAATGCTAAGGAGAATATTTTATAAGTGTTTTCTATTAATAGTTCAATTCTTTGGAAAGCAAGTTTTTTTTTTAAGACAAGGATCATTCCAGGAAATGTTTCTTTAATAAGCTTGAGTTTATATTTCACTAGATGTTTTGATGTACTGCATCATGATGTAGTACTATGATGCACATTTATTCATGGAAGTAAAGTTTAACTGAAATATATATATATAAATGCATTTGTTGACTGTTTCTACTGTATATATTTATATGTAGGCTGTTATCCAAGGTGTCCAGATGACACACCATATTTTGATGAAAACACAATGAAATGTACTACTTTGGGAGACTGCAGTTGTTTTTACAATGAAAACATAATTGAACCTAATCAAACCATGAAAATCTGTGGTCAGACATGGTAAGTACATTGTACCATAGTTCAAATAAGCAGCTGTGTCAGCATGTGTAGGCTGCAAGGGAACAAGTAAAGGTTTATTCCATGTTGAAAAGAGAAGAAAAGAAATATCGTTTCAGTTGTGGAGTTGTGGAGAGAGGAATATTTTAATAAATTGGAATAAACTTTACTTATTACATTGTAATGTAATCACTGCCGTACATTGCATTTGTAGGCCAGTAGTTTGAATGTTTTCAGAATTTCCCAAATCAATGCCTCAGTATTGCAACAAGAAGACACCGTTCTCCCAACTGGAGAAGACTCTCAATAACCACACTAAGGTACAACATTTTTTCCTTAGGAAACTAATCATCTGGAATGCTCTCTGGCTACAACTCCCATTATATCCAACTAGAGAGTTATTCACCTCCTCACCTCAGCAGCTTTTTAACCTATAGTGGTTCCTTGAAGCTGCCTGTTTTATAGTGGATTTCATTTCCACAGACAGCTATAGGGTCTGTAATCCTCAAAACTCAAACCACCTCCAGGATTTACACTAACATTACACTATAACACTCTTATAGGGGTTACAATCACAACCCTCTTTCAAGGTAGGGGAGATTCAATGCAGTCTCCCTCTTTCTTATTAACAAATAACCTAAGCTTTAAACTGTTATTTAATCTTAATTGGTAATGAATCCTGATTAACCTAATCTCAATAGCTGATCCTGTTTTAGCATTTCTTGTTTACACTTAATTGGTATATCAATGACTGCACTAATATCTTTTTAAAGAACACTAAAATTGTGACCTTAATAAACCTTGTCTTGTTAAATAACCTTAAATCCTTTAAAATGTGAAAATCACTCATAATAATTTATTAATATTCAGTGAACATTCATTTGATAGAAGGACCAAGACTTGCTGGGTGATACACCAAATGTACTGTATTTTATTAGAGGACTGAATTATGTCTTATACATTTTTAATATTACTGTCCCACTGAAATTCAAGCTCTGTTTTAGGAGATAAATGAACTATATATTAAAGAGAGGTTGGAGAAAATCTGCAAAAGCATGATTATCTTTCTGTATTTACTCTACTATGGCAATTAAAGTAACTCTAAGATGCATGTCTTACTCCAGTGGGAAAAGTGGGAGTTCTCAAGTGGAATACTTGCAGTCACTTGTTTACACTGAGAGAATCATGTAAAAGATATTATGATAGAGAATGAGAGAGAAAACATCATTAATAGTAGGCTTAGGTTCACAGAGCATATTAAGGTGTAGGGTAAAGTGTCAGTCCTTCTTTAGGACTTTCTAAAATTCCTCAATATAACAGGAAAAAACAACAAATACAGTCCAGAGTAAGATAAGAAACTTACCAGGATAAGGTTTTCTACTGAGCAAATCACGTCTTACAATATATAGCCACGTATTAATACAGGTAACATACACATTTCTCTCAATTATTAGAATAATTGATTAGAATTAGTCATTAGAATAATGGGTTAATTTGGGCAACCTTGTCCCCTTTAATGGTCAGGAACTTTGTGAGTTTGGTGTACACCATACAGAATGGTGGAAACATGTCTTGCCATGTTCAAAAGAGATTTCAGAGGACCTCAGAAAAAGAGTAGTTGATGCTCATTAAGACTAGGGAGGAATACAAAACCAATTCTTAACATTTGGGGGCTCTATCGATCCATTGTCCCAGAAATACTGTATACAGTACAAATGGGAAATATTCAAGATCACTGATCATCCTTGAAGATGTCACTAAGAGCAATTCAGAAAATCACCCTAGACGTCACCTAGAATTACATCTAAGGACCTCTCTCACTGCAGATAATGTTGATGTTCGTCCCTTGATTAAGAAAATACTGAATACAAGTGGTTTACATAGAAACAATGCCAGAACAAAAAATGTTGCCCATCTAAAGTTCTCCAAAGTGCGCCTGGACAAACCCAGTGGACATAAAGTACTGGAAGAATGGAAAGATGACTTCAAAGTTTAAATTTTTGGCCACAATGAGAAACATTTTGTGTGGAGAAAACCAAACAAAAAATACCCTTGCAACAAGAGAAGGCATTCCAGCCATCGAGTATGGAGGTGGGAGTATTAAGGTTTGGGGCTGCTTTGCTGCCTCACAACTGGGGTGGTTTGCCAGCAGTGACGAATCCATTAATTTGGTATGGTCATCATTCAATTATGGATGAAAATCTCAGGCCATTGATTTGTCAACTGAATCTGCATACTAGTAGATCTACAAGAAAATGGCTAAAGAAGAATAAGCTTCAGATTCTGGATTGGCCAAAACAAAGTACAGACCTAAACCCCATTGAAATGTGAGCTGAAGTGAGCTGTTTGTGCATGGAAACCCTTAAATGTCACTAACTTGAAGCAGTTCTGCAAGGAAGAAAGGTTCAAAATTCCTAAAAGCTGATATGAAAGACTGATAACAGTTACAGGAGACATTTACATACTTATTTACACACAGATATTTACTGTTGGATTACTGGTTCAATAAATAATTCAAATATGTATTTGTTTTACATAATAATCAAATTATCTTCATCTTAAAAATTTAATTTTAAGTCTAAAATATGCAAGAATACAAAACAACCTAGAAGTTCATTTTCTCAGTTCTGTAGAATCCTGTTTAATCATTTGGATGCATTTAAATAGAAACAGTCTATACAACAAAATACTGTTTGCTTCATCTAAGCTTTAAAAATAGAAAGAAAAAAGAAATGTTACTTTATCAAAGAAAATCCTTTCATTGTAACAAAACAAAAAGGAACTGTTGCGTGGCAAACGTAGGAATATACGTAGATGTAGACTTTTTAATAGAACATTTGTGCATTTACTCAAGCTAAATATACATGCTTGATGTGGTCCTGTGTATTTTCTCAGTTCATGCTAATATTGACCTGCCTCATTCTCTGTTACCTGTTTACCGGATTTATATAGAGCATATTAGTTTGCTATTTTTTGTTAGTATGCTCTACTTTTCCAAGCTTTAATATAAATGCATTTATTATCATATTTGAGATTTATCAATCACTTCATTCTTGTCATTTCAAAAGCAAATAAACTACCACAGATTTATCAATAATTTTGTTAACTCATCTCTAAAAATAGCACAAAAAAGGTATATTTTTCTTAATTTTCTCATTTATTTTTCCTTGATGTTATAAATCTACAAAAACTACAAAATCTACAAAAATATGTCGGGCACACTGGATTAAATATTTATTACTAATGACACATCGCAAACTAAACAACACACAACATAAACATACCTCATACAAATTATACTATTTGCGAAACAGGTGTCTCAAAGGCCTAAGTCCTGAACAACCAGAAAAAACCCAGACACCTACCAAAGTTTGAATCCTTTATAACACCTAACAGACCAAAAAAATAGAGATAAACCTGCCATCTGCACTAAACAGAATACAACTTAGACTTAAATCTCTCTATATATAAATGTGGGGATGCTGCTAAAATGAATAGGGAACCTACAGGTATCTCTCTATTCTAAAACTGCTTTCACTAACCTAGAGAGATCATTTTTAACCTAAGGGGTTTTCTATATAGTAAATTAGTTTCTTAAAAACAACAGAATGTCAAGCTCATTTACCAGGGTTCAAATACTTAACCTGGATCTGATCTTAAAATCTGATCAGAACAAGGATAAACCAGACAATTCCATTTAACAGTTTATCTCCAGTACCAGTACAAGTCAGTAAACATTTCAGTTACTTTCTTGCTTTGAAGCTCCTGAAAACTACAAATGTTAATTTTGTCCCTTTCGTGAGAGACCTCAATAGGCACTTCCAATAACCTTAAGAATATATTAATATAAGACGCCTTCATTTTTTGTTTTTCTGAGATTGATTAATATGTCTATTTTATGTCTACAGTTATTGCCTGAATGGAACACTCAATTGCAGTAAGTAAAAAACAAGTTTTAACTAAAACAATAGAGGTCTTCTCAATTATTTTTTAAAACACAGTTTTAATCAAAATCTCAGAAAACAGTTAAACAGCAAAAATCATATTTGAGATTTTCAAAAGCACTATGCGCCTCCCACAAAGTGATCTGTTGTTTTACTGCTGTTGCTCTACTGTTTACTTTATATGGAAGCCCATTTCCGCCAGGGAGTAAAAAAAAAAGCGCTATAGTATCTCAGAATTCCAATTCAGTAACTCAGAAGTTGGACATAGTAACTCAGAATTCTGACTTATTATCTCAGAATTACGACTTAGTAACTCAGAATTCCGACTTTATATCTCAGAATTGCGACTTCGAAATAGCCCATATTTAATTGTCTGTCCTTTTGTTATTGTAACGAATTCGGGTTCTAGGGCTTGTGCCCTCGCCGCTCCCACCCTAGTTCGTGCCTCACTGCATTATCTCGAACCCAGGTCTTGAGAATGTAGTCCCAGCCTCCCAGGGTTGTTGTCACACCCTCCACAGCTGGAAGGTGCTCCTGCTCTGTCCTGTTCCTAGTTTCCATGTGCTTTCCTTGTACTTCTGGTGTGTCTTGTCTCTGGGGCTTTATATTTCCGGGTTTCTCCTTCCTCCTCGCTCGGCATTGGGATCGTTTGTCAAGAGGCTCGCCTCACCTGGTTGCCCTACATCCACTACCCGAGGTCTTATGTCTTACCCCGACTCCACCCAATACTTTGAGCCCAGACGAACCCTCTCATTTGCTCCGTTCCTACCGCTACGCATAGGGTCCTCCTGTCTCGCCGGTCTCTCTCCACGGCTAATTCCTGGGTTCTGTAACAGTTGTGTTTCACTATATATTATAAACCCATGCATAATTACATCAAAAGTAAAAAAAATAATAGATACTATATGTGTACAGAATTTTTATTTTGCCTTCTAAATGAGAAATCATACTGAAAAACTGATGTATCCACTCAGATTGCACAGCAAACGTCTGAATGGCAAATACACCACAGCATACCGCAATATCACTCAGCACACAAATTTAACATGACTGGCTGATGAAAATCGATAAGGTGGTACCTGTGGTGCATTAGATGTTAGTAAAATTATTGCTTCATTTAATCTGTTTACTACTGTACTTCTTTAAATCTACTTAATGTGGAATATTAATATGGAATCTCTTCTTTCTCTTTTAACTTTAATTTTACATTTTTCTTCTACAATAATATTGTGAAGCTCTTTACAAACCTTTCTTTTTATCTCATTCTTTTGTCATCCTTCATGGCATAGGTCAGCCCTCAAGTATAAACTGTGTTGTCATCTCTTGTGTAATGCCATCTTTCCTAGTTTTTATCTTGTTCCCTGTGCCAGCAGGCATCCTAATGTGAGCGCAGTGATAGTGTCACGATTGTAGTCCCTCATCCCTAAGGGCGCTATGGTTCTTCCTGGTTTGTGTCATTCCCCGCACCGGTCTCCTGTTCCCTGTCCACCTTAAAAGCCAGGCACTGACGTTAATCTGGGCTCTGCATCTGATCTCCGTATCGTGCAAGTCCGGGATCTGGAAGCGCCTGGTCCCATTAAGGTTTTAATCTCTGTTCCTGTTCCCCTTCTGCCGGTTCCGATCCGGTTCATGTTTTTTAATCCCTTGTTGGATGGATCACCTGGCCATGGATTTATTCTTGTGTTTTTGGATTACCCTCTGGATTACTTTTGGATTGTTTGCCGCGGACTCACTCCCCTGGACACCTGCACACTTTGGACACGCTCCCCCTGTTTTCATCCCCGTATTCCTGCATGATCTTTTTCCTAGTGTTTCTGCACTTTTCCCTGGATCGTGTCGAAATAGGGAAGGGTCAGAAAGAACTGTTCATTACAGAAAGCTGTCCTACTTTCAGCTAGTGTGCTTTCTAGAATAATATTGTCCACATCTTTTTTCACATATTTCATTTTCCGCACCTAAAACTTCCCGTTCCAGTGCTACCATTTAGTTTGCCATAATGTTCTGCCTTACTGCACTACAGTACATCTCTTTAAAAATGTGGTTTGCTTGACAATCATGATTTGGTCATTTCCACAGGTCTTGGGGTCCTAATTTGAATTTTAGCAAGCAACTTTGGCAAAGGAAGGGATCTTGCTTCCATATTAAAAAACGACCTTTTCTGTTGTTGTAAATGAGATGCATTTTTGACATCAGCATGAAATTATTAATCCATGCTGCTTATTCATAGTCTTCCTACTTTGATATATATCCACAGAATTTATCTCCAAAAACAGATGCCTTTAGCTTGGTTCTGAAAGTAGTTATCAAAGGATTATTAGTGATATAGTGTCTAACTTGTTTTTTGAGGCCCCTGGAGCCCCTAAACCTTGTTCTCTCAGACAAGTGGATTAAAACCAGATCAACCAAAAAAATGTCACAATTCTCATGCAGTATATAATATATAAATACATATGAGTTTCACCTCACAGATAAGAACCCAATGACCCCACTCATGGGAAAATGAGGAAGTGTAAGCAGACTCTTCCGAACATCCCACTTTTTTCTCCACTTGCCCTTTCCTGTGTCCCCAGTAAGAAAGCTGCATACTGGAGGTTCAGAACCGATTAGAGGAGAGGCATGCTTCTCATACCTTGTTGACTTATGTCATATTATCCCAGGTGGTGAGCATTGTGTGCCACTGCTTAGGGAATCGAGTCACAGTTGGACAGTGACTTGACTCAGGCTTGGTCCCACAAGAACAGACCACAACCCGCAGTTTGAAAAACACATTTCAGGAGGCCTCAGAAAAAAAAATGGTTAGAAAAGGTCTTCAAAATCTGCACATATATAATAAAGATCACATGCTAAGCTTTGTTTGTCCATTTTAAATGTAGAAATGAATAAAAGCATCAAAACTGATAATCTTCCCATACTGATTTTATACCAATTGATAAAAAGCAGCATTACTGTAACAGTCAAACCTGAAATCTGTTTCTAAATTTGATCTAAATATGAAGTAGGATAAAAACTATTATGATTTATAAACATTTTTGGATTGAACAGACTAACATGGGAAAATAAAACAGCAGGAGGGCTAACATACCCTTGCCCATACTCTCTCCAGCCCCTATTATAAGTATTTTTTTTCTATAGATTTTCTTTCCAAATGAGTAACAGTAGAAAATAAAAGTTAAAAAGAACAGTTAAAGCACTTAGGAGTTGAAATACCCCTTAGTGATTTCTGTTATCACTGACATTTGAAAATAGTAATCCAAGGTCAGTCCAAGGGAACAAATCTAGGAAAGACAAGTTAGGGAAGACATCCACCATAGAATCACACCATATAATCATATATGTTCTTGAGTGGTAAATTTTCACGCGGCTTTAACAATAAACAGAAATCTGTTGTTTTCTATTTCCCCAGAGTTAAAGCCTCTGGAATATAAAACTAGTCTTTTTACCCCCCATTTAAAGGAATGGCCTGAATATTTCTTAATAGTGCGGTACTGAATTAAAGGTCTAAGAAGGTATAAAATAACAATTGTTAACCAAAGGGATTCATAAGATGTTAAAAATTGTAGCTAACACAGCTAAAGGCATGCTATATTGTGCTATCAATATGTGGGAACTGTCACATCAATGTTTATTATTTCAGATGCAACTCCACCATAGAACTTTAATGTTTTAAAAGAATAGTATAAACCTTATATTTATTACAATACATATTTTCATTACTTATATTTTGGTGTGTCTTAATTGATATTTTGTTTCTGAACCTAATGGTGTTAACTGTACTTCTTTTATTACTTGCTAGTATTTACAACAACACCAACAACAACAACAACAACAACAACAACAGGTGATTATTAATACCACATAATTTGTACAGAAAATACAAGTGTAGGTTTTACTACTGTAAAATGTATTTGAAAATTATGAAACAGTATTTTTTCCCCAAAATATAGTTAGTATTAAAAAAGAATGACAAATTCTCTGTTAAATACCAAATTCTATGTTTTTCTGAAAAAAAAAGATTAATATTTTCACATATTTTCACTACATATATTTTGGTGTGTTAATTGATATTTTGTTTCTGAACTTAATGGTGTTAACTGTACTTCTTTTATTCTTTGTTAGTATTTACAACAACACCACCAACAACAACATCAACAACAGGTGATTATTAATACCACATAATTTGTACAGAAAATACAAGTGTAGGTTTTACCACTGTAAAATGTATTTGAAAATGATGAAACAGTATTTGTTTCCCAAAATATAGTTAGTATTAAATAAGAGTGAAAAATTCTCTGTTAAATACGAAGTTCTATGTTTTTCTGAAAAAAAAAATCATATTTTCACTACTTATATTTTGGTGTGTCTTAATTGATATTTTGTTTCTGAACGTAATGGTGTTAACTGTACTTCTTTTATTCTTTGCTAGTATTTACAACAACACCAACAACACCAACAGGTAATTATTAATACCACATAATACAAGTGTAGGTTTTACTACTAGGTTCTAGTGTGCTTTCTAGAATAATATTGTCCACTTCTTTTTTCAACTATTTCATTTTCTGCCCCTAAAACTCCCTGTTCCCACGCTACTAATTAGTTTGCCTTAATGTTCCACCATATTGCACTACATCTAGCTACATCTTAACTGTACTTATTTTATTCTTTGCTAGTATCTACAACAACACCAACAACAACATCAACAACAACGAGATCAACAACAGGTAATTATGAATACCACATAATTTGTACAGAAAAGTGTAGGTTTTACTACTGTAAAATGTATTTTAAAATTATGAAACAACAGTATTTGTTTCCCAAAATATAGTTAGTATTAAATAAGATTGAAAATATCTGTGTTAAATACCAAATTCTATGTTTTTCTGAAAGAAAAAAAAGATTCCTGGTGATTAGGTGCTCAACTCTTTTGTCATAGGGAAAGGGGACTATGTCTGATTACGTTCCTCTGTAAGCTGACATCTACTACAGTTATTATTCTGTTGCCTTTACAAAATGTATCTTCACCGTGAAGAATTGCATTAGGATATCACCAATCCTTGTAGACACAGCTTAACCAGGTGCAGTCTTCAGTGAGACAGGACAAGATCAATGACACAGTTCTAGGGTTTTATTGAATATAAACCTACCCTTTCACTTGAACTGGTCAGTGAAATCAGAGGCTTTTCATTTCCCTCCCTTTCCTCTGGAGAAGAAATGGAAGGCTGAAGGATTTTGAACCAATACTTTGAAAGAACTAGTTCAGGACTGGTCTTACAGGACAGGATAAAGTTTATCACTTTCTTGCAGATTGGACTAGGTTTTTATGTATCATGGTGTTCAGGCACAGGGTAAACTCCTATGAAGACAGGGACATTCTCTTTGATTTGTGGATGCTGTAGTCCCAGCCTATGAGATGGACTGTATTCCCGTTCTGAGGAGGGTCATGGCATTGTTTTTGAGAGGTGTGGTGATGTGTTTGGCCCTATTTAGAATTGCCTCAAAATTGTAGATGTGTGTGTCACAAGGTTTTATTGCCTGCGTGTTGTTAATTCAGTCATTAGGGTTGCACAGCCATTTGAACCTTGTGAATGATGAGGTTGTCTGTTGTTACTTCATTGTTGTGTCCTTTAAAAAACTTTGTTATACTGTATATTTTCCCAGTGTTTTCATGAGACTTCCTTCAAAGGAAAGGGAAATATTAGTTTACATGTGTAACTCTAGACTTCCGAAAGCAGAGAAAGCCCTTTGTGAATGTAGTAAAAACATCTGATGACATCTAATACAAATTCATTCCCAGGGGTGGCCACATACTGTAGCAACAATAAATCCTACTTTTAGTGGTTGTTCAGGAAGTCATTTTCTATATACTACATATGAAGAACATGCAAGAGGGAAATGGAATAACTTTGTTCTATTACCCCTGACATTTCATTGGTCCAACCTTTTCACATTTTAACGTGTAAGGTGGTTTACGGTCTTTTTAACTATGGAAAATGTGTCTGGTTTTTATGTATCCTGTGAATTTAAGTCAGAAGTATACATAAGAACATAAGAAAGCCTACAAACAAGAGGAGGCCGTTAGGTCTGTCTAGCCTGTTTGGAGTTATCAACTAATCAATCCAAGCATTTCATCCAGCCATTTCTTATGAGAAGCTAGGGTATTAGCTTCACCAGAACAGTGTGGCTGAGTACCGTACTCCCATGTTTCCACACCCCTTTGTGTGAAGAAGTGTCTCCTGCTATTGGTTTTAAGTTCACCTTTTCACTTTGCATCCTCTGGATTGTGTTTCACTATATATTATAAACCTATGGATTATTACATCAATGGTGAAACTTGTAATAGATAATTGTACAAAAGTTTTGTTTTGCCTTCTAAATGAAAAATCATACTGAAATACTGATGTAGCCACTCAGAATGCACAGGAAAAGTTTTTTCCAGTGGCAAACACACCATAGCATACCGCAGCACACAAATTTAACTTGACTGGCAGATGAAAATCGATAAGGTGGTACCTCTGGTGCATTAGATGTCAGTTAAAATGATTGCTTCATTTAGTCTGCTCTACTACTGTGCTTCTTTAAATCTACGCAATATAAAATATTAATATGGAATCATGTAACTAATTTTCCATGTTTATGTATTTGCTTTGCATAAAATAGTACATAGTTTTCAAAGCAGGAAGCGGCTCATTCTCAACTTTTAAATGCACATGTTGAAAGACAGGCTGGATCTTTAAATATTTTTTGAATTGCCCAGTTATTTCAAAAGGATACAATGAGGAACTGCTTAGATTATATCTTCAGTTTAAAAATATATATTGACACAACTATGAAATATATGACATGCTTTATGCCTTACTTTAGAAAATTTAATTGTGTGTTAATATGTTTATGTTCCCTTTTTAAGGCTAAAACAGCAAGTCCTGTGGTTTTTGGAGACAGATTTAATTTTCTTGATCACACAAATGCACAGAAAATACTGGTATTCATGTTTTTTCTGCTGTAATCCTCTCATCCAGTAATTCAGTGCCTGAACTGTCCAGACTGTGTTACTAATGGTCAGGTTACTTGTACGTGATTATCATAAATATAAGGTGTTATATCCTGGGAATAGCAGCGCTACTACTTTTAATGGACAAACCGACACAGTTTTATTGTTTGTGTTTTTTGTAGGGGGGCATCTTCACAGAACTAATTCCCAACTGCATATAATTTGATCTTGTTGTGTGAAACTGAAAATCCAGACTTTTGTCAATATATTTACTAAATGTAATCTGGTTCAGTAATCTCACTTTGTGAAATAATCCTCACTGAATCGTTTTACCCTCTTAACACAACACCCACTGGGCACATTGTGATCTCACACACAGGTGAGAAATAGGGATAAAAACGTCAGTTTTTAAATATGTATCTTTTGTAAATGTTAATACAATGTCAAATGTATTGCATTTCTATTTTTTATTGCCTAATATTTATACCTTTCATCATACTGTGGCAGTTGTTGTGATATGGCACATTACACCTCAAGCAGTCAAGAGTGACTGCATCTCTACCTCGAAAAGAGAGGAGATATTTGTTTTGTGATAGGCAGACTAACTAAAAAAACATCATACCCTGGCTACAAACATACACATATTAATTACTTTAAGTTTCATTGCTAATTGTTCCTTGTATTACTAAAAGTACATTTAATGTTACACTGACGACAAACAAGCCACAAGCAAACCTCCGTATTGATAATAAAATAATATAATCATTACCCTTAAAAAACATTTGTTGTCAATTACATAAGCAAGTACATGAGAGGTGTAGTATTTCAAAGAAAGTATTTGTCATATCATATCTTTCCTAATTTTTTTTGGGAAAAGTGGATGGCACAAAGGCACCTGGCAGTTTATGTGACTTATGTAGTGCTTATTTGTTAAGGTTGGAGTAGGGTAATGTCATATAGTGTAGCACTGTGCTTTAAGGGAGGTATGTTTAGTAAAAGGCATGGGTTTAATTGTTTGAATTCTTAACATGAGTTGAAATAGATAGGCTACACACAACACAGTTCCCCCATAATGCCAAGTCTGGGTGACATGCAAATTTGCATAAGGGTATTGTGAGACAATTAATATTGTTACAAATGGGGGGTTCCGAAAATGGTGAAAATCAGGAATTGACCAAGCAGTTTAGTCAAGAAGTAAAATAAATATTCATAACCCCCAACAAGTGATTTCTCCAGAATACCCGAGCGGCTGGTAGAATTACAACCACATGAATAATAATAATAATTCCTTACACTTATATGGCACTTTCCTGGACACTCCACTGAAAGTGCTTTATAGGTAATGGGGACTCCCCTCCACCACCAATGTGCAGCAACAGCACCAGTACGCTCACCACACATCAGCTAACAGTGGGGAGGAGAACAGAGTGATGAAACCAATTTTTATAGATGGGGATTATAAGGAGGCCATGATTGATAAAGGCCAATGGGAAATTGGTGGGATATTGGGGTAATACCCCTTCTCTTTTTGAGAAACACTCTGGGATTTTATATGACCAGAGAGTGTCAGGACCTCAGTTTTACGTCTCATCCAAAGGATGGCGCCTTTTTAGAGTATAGTGTCCCCGTCACTATACTGGGGCATTAGGACCTACACAGATCACAGGGTGAGCACCTCTTGCTGGCCCCACTAACACCTCTTCCAGTAGCAACCTTAGTTTTTCCCAGGAGGTCTCCCATCCAGGTACTGACTAGGCCCATACCTGCTTAGCTTCAGTGGGCTGCCAGTTGTGAGTTGCAGGGTGATATGGCTGCTGGTTATACTAATTCAGGTACACTTGGTTAAACAAATATTTACTATAATGACAACAAAACATGCAACACACAATTTACTCTACGTACAGTATTTACAGTACAGAAAAGACGTTTCAGAGGCCTAACATTCTTACCATCCAGAAAACCCCCAGAATTCTACTAAGTATTGTGGAAGAAAACACAGTCTTCACTTGGGTTATGAGATTGTCTAACAGAGATCTTTTATTCAATCAGCTGAAGGGTAGCATAGCACAGAGTCAGGGTTTCCCCTGGCTCCTACTAAATATGCTCGCTCAACTGTACTTACACTTTTCCTTTTATACCGTACATGTAGATGAGACTTTTATATATCAAAGAAATACACAAGGCAGAGGACACTTACAGAAGTCTTTCAAACACAAACAAAGAGGACAGGAACATTCCATTTGGCATTCTGCAATCTCTCTGATAAAACACACAAGTGTGAAACATCACAGGCTTTAGTCACAGAGAGAGTTGTTTTAAGTGCAAACAGAAAACCTCTCCTGCGCATAGTCACAGTCTAGACTCAGTATTCCACAGTATGAAACTCTTAATTAATGCCTACAGAGGCCAAATAAGAGATAAAATGCCTTCTAAATAAATGTGATACAATCAATTTAATTCAAGGTGCTTTATTAGCATGACCGATGAGTACAATCAGTGTTGCCAAAGTAAATATAATAAAATAATGAAAATTCACATGAAACAAAACAAAAAATAAAAGTAAAATAAAATCTACAGCCATATTACAGCCATTTACAACAATGACATATTATAAAATATTTACATATACTGTAGAAAGAAGGAGCATTATTGGGAGACAGACTCACTGTTCCTCAGGCTGTGACAGAAGATCACATACTGGTCTGCCAGTTCCATTGAGTTCCCTCCTCCCTCTCCCAGTATGATTGGGACCCATTGTGATTCTGGCAGGTGTGGGAACTCTGGGATTAGATTTCTGAATTTAGGGAAGAATGTTTCTCTAATCCCAGAGTATCTGTCACAGTGCAGTAGGAAGTGCACTTCTGACTCGATTTCTCCCCGCTGGCAGTGGGAGCACAGCCTGTCCTCTCTGGGCAGCCAGGTCTGCCTGTATCGCCCAGTTTCTATGGCCAGGCTGTGGTCCCTGAGCCTGTACTTCGTCAGGGTCTGTTTGTTGTTGTTGTTTTTTGTTGTAGACAATACTTTAATACTCTTTTCTGTATGATTATCAATAGTGGGTACTGGCCTAATTCGGCTCTGCACGCATTGTAAGGTGTTTTTCTCTGCACACGGAGGTTGTTTCTACAGATCTCCATGTGGAGAGTTTCTGTGGGGTGTTTGTCCCATTGAGTGTAATCCTGGTCTGTGAGGGGACCCCACACTTCACTGCCATATAGGGCAATGGGTTGGATTACACTTTCAAATATTTGGAGCCAGATTCTTGTTGGTGGATTGATGTTGAAGAGCCTCCTTCTTATTGCGTAGAATGCTCTGAGTGCCTTCTCCCTCAGTGCCTTCACTGCTAGATCAAAACTCCCAGATGAGCTGATGGTGAGACCGAGATATGTGTAATTGGATGAGTGCTCCAATATGTTGTTGTTGGGTGTGAATTTGTACCTGTTTCCCTTGTTTCCCTGAGGTCTGGCTTTGTTCTGGAAAACCATAACTCTGGTCTTGTCCAGATTGACTGTCAGTGCCCAGGTCTGACAGTACTGCTCCAGCAGTGCCAGGTTCTGCTGTAGCCCCTATTCTGTGGGCGACAGCAGGACCAGGTCATCTGCATAGAACAGGAACTTGATTTCTGTGTCGTGTAGTGTGAGACCAGGAGCTGCAGACTGTTCCAACATTCATGCTAATTCTTTGATATAGATATTGAACAGTGTTGGGCTCAGGCTGCAGCCCTGTCTCACCCTATGGCCTTGGGTGAAGAATTTGGTCCTTTTGTTTCCAATTTTCACCGCACATTTGCTCTCTGAATACATTGATTTAATGATGTCGTACACTTTGCCCCCTATGCCACTTTGGGGTAGTTTGTAAAACAATCTTTAATGCCAAATCGAGTCAAATGCTTTTTTGAAATCGACAAAGCAGGCAAAAAATTTTCCTTTGTGTTTTTGGTGGACAATCTCTCTCTCTGCATCCCGAATTCAACAAAATAAATGGGAGCCTATCTCCCTATACTAAAAATGCACCCCAAGCAGGAAAGATGTTTCTAATCAAGCTATCTTTACCCAGGAAACCCAAGGTCCCTAAAAACTCATAATAGCAAGCTCTCTCTAGCAAGGTTCAAATACTTAGCTCCAGTCAGGCTTTGTTTGGATGATCATAAAGCAGGAACTCTCTCTCCTGGTGCAAGCTTCGGGTTCCAACTCCTCTCTCCTTTCTGTTCTTGTCCTGCTCTTCTCGCTTCTTGTTGTCTCCTTCCTTGTTCTTAATGTGATCTTATATTGTGTGTTTCCGTACTGCTCATTGACAATCATTAACCCACAACTTACCTAGGTATACCAATGTAAACTTTACAATGATTTCTGATTAATGGACCCCTACATCTCAACAAACATTCTCTCTGCTTTGAAGCTAGAAGTGTTCACTTTGCCAAGTGTCACAATCTTTATTTAAAATATGAGACACTTCTCAGTCACCTAAACCTGTAACAATATAATAATGTGTGATTGAAAAGGGTAACATTTATATAAAATGTAAATTATATTCTACTTAATATGTCATATATTCACAGGGCTCCAGATAATATAGACCTTGAAGAACAGTCCCTTTCTCTGTATCCTCTTCCACTAATTAACTGATCAACATTAAGGGGTGTATAGAAACAATCACCTCCAACAATTCACACACACACAAAAAACTGTTCTAATACTGTGTATATGCTTTGATTCTAATGCTGAATCTAATTACCTTTTCTATAGGGAGTACAACTTTTTCAGTTGTTACAGGTAATTATATCCCATACACTTTATTTTTCATTGAAATAATTTTAAATGCACAATTTTAAATACACCAACAAAAGCGACATTATAAAGTTTTGTTATGACATACTGTATACTATAAGGAAGTAGTTTCTAAGCAGCTTCAATTTTGCTCCATACAGTATTATATTTAAATATTTTATGTTGATTTTAAAAGCACAATTTAAAACTTTGATTTAAAAAGTTAAAATGTGCAAAAGGCAAGTTTAAGGTATTGAACTCTGTATGAGAATTCATTCTGTTTTCATGAAAGAATTTTAAGACAGTTTTAACAACCTAAAATAGATTGTGAGAAGCAAGCTGATGGGGAAGGGGAAACTTTTATTTCAGAATGAGATGATGTCCTGTAATCATATAATGATATCCTATCATAATATTATTTTCAATCGTTTTTGAATAATTTTCAAAATTATTAAAATCATTTTGAAGTAGATAAAAAAAATTAAAACTTGCTAAAGAGGAATTAATTTAAAGTGCAAATTGCACTTTAAACCTTTTGTAATTTGATACAGTAAGTAAATATTGGCAGTATTGCAAGATACGAATAATGAAATAGAAAACATTAGAATTATATTTTTGTAATAATTATATTTTGTAGTTATAATTACCAGGAACAATAACATGTGCAACAATTTAATTATATTTAATTGTTATAGATTCTTTATCATTTGAAAAAAATGCTTTTGACTCATCAAAACAACCTGTGACTCCAAATTGGATAGATATGTGATTAAACTGGCAATTCCTAAATCAAAATATAAAATAACAATCTTAACAAGAATTTTATTTATAAAGTTTCAGTTGTAGTTATGACATTTTCATTTTCATTTACAGGTCCTAATGTCACCACTACAGGTATTTAAGGTTGCTTATTTACTCATTCCTGCAACTATATGAAAACATACTCTAAATGCAAGATGAATGAATCTTTCATCCACATTTCTGGAACAATATTTCTGCAGAAAATTGAAATTGCCTTTCATTGCATAAACAAAAAACAAAAATGTAGTGCTGCACACTGAACATTAAAACCGTGGAAGTTATTTTTCTAGTGGGTTATCTACAGTATGCTGTTATCCATGGGGTTATTGTGGGGTTTTCTAGTGGGGTTGCTGGTTATAAAGTATACTGACTTGTTAACAGTACATAATATGTGAATATTTACATTTTTATATTACATATTTGTTTTATATTAACAAATTCTATATGGGTATGGGACTATCCTTGGGCTATGAAACTTTAGTTTTAGATATCTGAAAAAAAAAAAAAAATTTAAATATTAGTCATATGAAAACAAGACATGAAAAAAAGTTCCACTTATTTTTTTTTTTATCTTCCCGATCTGTAGTCAGCAATTATCTGTGATCATTAAACCAGAACTCAGACTAGAAAAAGAAGAGTTAATTGTCTTCAACAAGTACGCGATAACATCAGCAGTAGGTCAGGGGAAGCTCTCATTGACTATCCTGCAGGCACCTGGAAGGTGTTTCAAACTTAAAATACAGTACCAGCCCTACACACAATAAGAGTTTGATCAGCTGTGTCTCCCCTCCTGGGGAATCCGGGATACACAGATTAAGAACAGAGCCCAATTATGAGCCAGTGATGTTAGAAATATAGAAACAAACCTGCTTAACAGATAGGCACATTTAAACTGGAAGTGTCACAAAAATAAAATAACAGATCATTCTTTCTCTTATGGTTGCTTTTTAATAACACTGCTGTAAGGCATGCTTGCCACAAAATGCCTTAGAGTGTTTCATGCTATTTCAAGATTGGATTTTACATTCAATTTAAATAACGAAAACACACTTGTTCTTACCTCACAATTCCAACTTCATCTTCTTTGCAAACTGTAAATTTTAATTTTAATTTAGCTAATAGTATTATTCTTCTTGCACAACTAAAATGTTTAATTAAGAAATGTAGCTTTAATAATAAGAGACAATCAAAAATAATATACATTTCATTTAGTCATAGCGCACTAACTACATTTTTTTATTTAAAGCTTCAAAGATTACTTCTCAAATCGGTAAGCTTATTTTCTATTTGTCTTCTCTAGGTGAAAGTAAAAAGTCCAAAAACATATCTGTAATATACTGTATACAAAGTTTTGCTCTTGTGAAGGACTTAACAATCATTAATACTAAAGTTTTCTAGAATATATTAGTAAGTGATGGGGTATAATATCCTACATTTATTAAATACAAAGTTAAATTAAAATTGTGCACTGCATGCAGCTCTGCAACATTTTCACCATGGACTTTTTCATAGTTACTGTATATGTCTTTCAGACATGTTCTCTGATATCCATGACTTGATCGCTCCATTCAGGTGTGATTAATTCATGTGCTTTAATCTTCATGGATACTTAGATACTTGGAACATTGATAAATCCATGTTATCTCATGCACTTTGAGAAATTCTAAATAGTAAAAGAACATGAACATTATGAAAGTTCACCTGAAAAATTGTATTTTGTATTTTGTGTCTTAGAGGAGAACATATCTGAATGATTCCAAAAATATCCAATCTTTGTAGTGCTTATCAAAAACAACCTAGCCAAAACCAACAGGAACAAATACCTTTTAGACAGTACCTACTTGAGAAAGTGCAGGAGGTTCTGAAAAAAGTAACATTATCTTTTACTGTATGTAGAAGACATTTGAAATCAGTAGGAAACATTTTTTTCCAGCAGGGAATACACAGTCTTAGTAATTCTGTATCTGTCACACACTCAAACGAAAGCATTTTCTTCTGTGGTGATGCTGTCAGGTAAAGATCTGTTGTTGTTATTATTACCCATTCTAGGTCAGTTTCACAGATGTAAATGTTATGAGAAAGAAGACAAAGTTTGGAATCAAATCAGAAATAAATTTCCTCAAATAATTCAATTTCAATTCAGATAGAAATATTTTACTAGTTATTTCTTTTCATAGTACACCAAGAGAACAAAAATGAAAAAATAAAATCAATGTATTCTGATCCATACGTGTGTGAACAAATTGTGATGTATATGATTGTCCTTAGCATCATAATTCAGCATGATGTTTAATGGTTACAAAAATATATGTTGTTTTTTTCCTTGGGAAGTTTAGTGTATGGGAATTATGGG